ATGGCTGTTCACCTGGCCTGACGGATAATGAGGATTTTGCTTTTGACATGGTATTGTTTTCCGTAAAAAAGGCACGTAGTCCGGCTCCGAACACACGCGCAGAGTAGGTCTACGGGACAATTTTTGTGCGTTCTATTATAAAAATGAGGTTTGCTAAATATAAGGTTTTAAAGGGTATTTGTCATTAAACCAGCTCTGCTTAATAAGCAGAGCTATATGGACTAGCATTTACATTAAATGTTGAAGATCGACTCAAATTCCTATGATTAATCAAAAATGACCTATAATTAATCATCTTTAAGTAAAAATCCAATTTAACTGATGCAAGCATGTATATATTAGCTGATACTTGAATTTGATGTTTTGGTGTGCCGATAGATATATCATTTATAGATATTTTATGTTATGTCCATTTGCTTCGATCTCGACTTAAATTCAAAGCCTAAACCTTCCTAAGGTCGTTTTCAATAACTCGTTCTCTAAATTTAAGAATAAGTGCACAGAATGGCAGCTGTGACGTTTCAAAGTGAACTTTCAAGGCTGGAACGAGTTGACTAGATATAAGGAAAATTCAACGGCCTAAATGGTGGCCTCATATGAATCATAAATCTGAAAAATCAGAAGTTCTAGAAATGCTGTAATGTCCAAACGATGTAAAAAGACGTTAACAGCCGTGAAAGAGTTAACCGTTGGAGTCTTATGGGGACAATGCAGTTGGTGGCAGATACTCCTCTTGAGAAGCAGACGTTAATTTCTGTTGAAAATTGAGTTTTGTGTTACTTTGTTGAACTTTTTAACCTTTCTAATGTCATTTCGATCGAGTCCTTCGGTGTGCTTTACGGAAACCTATTTCAGAATAATTTGCGCGGAAGCTAGCATCAACCAAAAGATTGTTAGCCTCAATGGCAGGTCATTAACCGCGGAAGCATTGGACAGTATCTGCCCTGATGATTTTGCTACAAGGAAAAATTATTTCTTTAACCATAGAAAATAGATGAATGCATATCTGTTACGGTAAGCTGTCCGTCGAAGCGTAGATTCGTCGAATGTGTAACCCAATAGCAAATTTAGACAAATTTGCTATTGGTCTACACATTTCGGCCTGCTCAACTTACCCAACGCGTTACGTACATAAAGAACGACAAGCTTTTTATCTTGTGTGCAGTAGCATATTATTTTAAGCATATGTTAACAAGGTTCGGCATTTTCGACGAGAATCTACCGTAGGGGACACGCTGAGAGACGCTATTTTCACACAACCTTCAACCCCTCAGGTACTTAACCAAGACGGCCATTTGTGTATTTGGCAAAAAAAACAATCCTTTAAATCAGCCAACCCTTTTGTCGTTAGAAAAAAGTATTTCTTTAGTTTGCTTGCACTTGACTGCACTGAGTTAATATAAAATTCAAGGATTTCGCCGGTCAGAAGTCTATCAAAAGCCTCAGTCTGCACGTTCGACCAGCGTCATCACACATTTCAGAGTTGAAGTAAAGCGCTGGGGGGGGTCGGAATATGTGAGTCTTTTTCGTTCTGCATCCTCTTTCAAAGGAGACTTTCCTTAAATCTGACTGTAGATTACTCAACTGCATTCTAGTCGCTTTGTTTGCCATTGGCTGTTTATTTCCTCCTTGTAAATCACTCCAGTTCAGTGTCGTCTACACCTGTCGAGTATACCGTTCGAAACGCACAAAGGAACAAGAGTTAAGCCCATTACGGATCGATTGCTACCGGTGTTGCCGCAACAACAACGGCGCTACTACGTCAACCAGTACAACGATTTTTATTGCGCGATTCGAGAGACTAGTGCCACGCCTCTACTCAAGGTCACGCTAATTCATTCAGCAGTGGAATCGCTAGCACGAGTACTACAGTCTGCCATCGATGGCGATTATTTTCTGAAATAACCAATTCCAATTTCCAACAACTATTCGTTTGTATTTGACTGTAACGATCACACGTGAACTTGCACACCATCTTTCTTAGGAAGAAAAAAGGGTAGACAGGAGAATGGTGTCAAGTCGCCCTATGAGATAACACGCGTTCTAACGCGCGTTTATGTGTGCGGGCGTAGAGTACTAGTCATAGAGACTAGTGGCGATAGAGGCAAGTTATCAAAAGAAACAACAGCGGTAGCAGCAGAAAGAACAGAACAAGCGCGGTTTTGTTCTAGGAAATAAAGACATCATATATACATATAGGAGCCATTGCAAGGGAGACAGATTTTTATGAATATGTTCGTTGCGGCTCATAGGTCAGGCTTCGTTGATATATTAGATGATGTTGCTGGTGCTACCGTTTGGGTTGCTGCATGATCTTATGTATAGCACTGCATGATACGAAAATAGTACTATTCGGCTTCATGCATATAGGCCTATGCTGCCGTAACGCACTGTGCTGAATACATGCTTATTACTATTGTTGAAAAGCTATTTTTTTTTTATTAGTAAAACTACTGCGCGTAGTTAAAAAAGCAGTTCCACTGCTGAGTCGGCAAACTGATTAGAACCGAGATATTTGTGGCTTAATTAACTTCCTTTTCCTTTATTAGTTTGTTTCGCTATGCTGTCCTTGTCTCTGGCTGGTTGCTGAAAATTTAAAAATGATGTATCGAATAGAAATAGGCCACCATTTAATCGTCAAAGCTAATCACATCAACCCATTTCAGCGTTGCTAAAAAGGATTATGAGAAATTAATAGCGAGAAAGATGAAGAACAAAAGACAAATAAGCAAAACAAGGATCTATTAAGGTCAATAACTGCTTCTATGACTATGCCGTCACCCGCCGTTTACAAGCCCAGTGACATCCATTCTAGTTAGGTTTCTAGTGGAGACAAATTCCCGAGGTTATACTCCAAAACACCTATGCGGAGGACTCAATGACATAGGGGTAATAGTTAAATTTGCCAAAATATACGTACAAAAAAAAACAAAGAAAAAGAACATTCCACTGCTTATAACAATGTCACTAGTTCGATAATTGACATCACGAACTACCGAATTGTCGCAGAGGTGTTCGCGGAAGTGTCTCTCTAACATAAAGAAGATCTTTTGCATAGATCGCCACAGTCCGTCCGTTTCCCATTTAACCTTCCTGGTGCTCCTTCGTGGTGGTAAAGTTTCATACATTGTTCTGTACGAAAATTTTGTTAATTAAATGGAGTCATGATCAGCGACGTGTGTGTGTGGATGCGTTCTTCAACCAGACGCTTGCTGAAGAGTGCTCTTGCTTTTATTATTGAAAGTACATTCGTATAGCGTTACGTACGATGTTTCGGAATACAACACAACCAATTTCGTTGACAAATAGCAAGGAAAGGAGACGGTATTGAGGGCGAAGATGAAAACGGCGAAATCGAATAGTAGTCTTTACATTGAAAATGATTCGTTCAATTTTTCAACTTCTACAATTTTTGATGCGTCACGCAAGCCCATGGCTGCTGCTGGTTGTATCGTAAATACATGCGGATTCACGAGCTTTCGTCGTTTGTCTTAAGTTCGGGAAAAAGTGATGATGATGTGCATAGCTGACATTTGTCGTTTTCTCTAGGAAAGCCCTAGGGTAGTTGTTAGCATCATTAACGTAACAGGTATTATGTCATTGTGCTAATGCATTTTAATTTTTGGCGCTCTTACTGGCACAGCAGTAACAGCTTTATCATGACGGCCTTTGCATATTAATTTTTTTAGTGAACAGATCGACAGGCTCCAGAGTCTAAACCAGTCACGCAAATGAAGAGAGTTATAGTACAATTGGAAATTTATTTCGCTCTATTGGTAACACACTGGTAAAACTATAAAAACTATAAACACTGGTTAAATTTTCCAGTTATAATTCGCTTGCGACTCGTCATGATGCCGCGCTAGATACTAATAGAACGCATTCGGCGGCAAGTTCTCTCAGGTAAGAAAAGACTGCCAGTCTTTTCTTACCGCCGCGTATGTCCAAACGGGCTAATTACGCCAAGCTCAGTCAACATTGGCTGCCATATTCATCAGGGAGAATACGAGTACTCGCAATGAAAAGTGTATCGAAATATTTTGCTTGCGCAGTGGCAAATCACAGTAGGGTAAAGCCCAACACGACAAGCAGGGTATCTTTCAAACGCTCCATTGAAAACGTGTATGATAAAGGAAAAATGTTTCGTGGAATAACCAGAGGTTCGAACACGCCAATATCTGGCTTTGGGCTTCTCGGCGTCGAAATCTGCTGCATGCTGACCGAGTATTGTCTAATTCTTGTAATGAGTTTAACTCATCTTTTGTTGTTCGAAATCATTGATATACGAATGTTAAAGGGTTGATCAACGCATATCATTTAACTCTTTTTTGATTGTAAGAAGCAAACATGTGATTTAGTTTATGCAGTAGCAGGATACAAAGCTGTGTGGGAAGAGCATTTGCTTTAGACTCGGACCAGTGGACCCTTTGGTTACCTAGGTATATATATATCTAGAATCAATTTCGTTAAGTAGAGTTCAATCATTGATACTGAATGGACTTCTAGGAACTAGCCTCGCTGCGGTTGACGTTAAATTTTTAACGGACCTGACGTCAACCCTCAGATGTTTTATGCTCGCGCTTTAGTTAAAGAGCAGTCAATTTAATAGTACTTGACTTCTAATATATGACCATAAAATGCATTTCTCTCTCACTAACTTGGACAAAATTCATACGGATATGGGGTGACTAGCGGCACCAGTCGTGGTACGTTAAGCTGTAGCTGCGTATTCGCCTCCGAGCATTTCGTAGTATAACTGTTAGCTTTGACACATGAACGCAAACGCAAGAACGTACGACCAGATATATAATCATTAAGCTTTACTGTAAACATTTGTTACGTGTGATTCCTATTATAAATATCTCGCCATACCACATGTCACCAATTTCCACTGATGTCCACCACTTATTTAGAATCCCATTGCTGCGTGAGCCGCACAGATTAGCTCTGGATTCTGATCTTTTATATTTCACTTTCATTTTCACATATTTACTTTACAGATACTTGAAGGAGTTCCGGGTTGAGCAGTGTCCACAGTTTCTGCAGCACAAATGTACACAGCACAAGCCATTTACGTGCTTCCATTGGCACTTCATGAACCAGCGTCGACGAAGGCCAATCCGAGACCCGAAAACCAAGACGTTTAATTATTCGCCAGACATGTACTGCACGAAGTACGATGAGACAACAGGAATCTGCCCTGACGGAGATGAGTAAGTATGACACTTTCGTAGACACAATAATAGTAGATATGATATGACCTCCATATTGTTGGAATGCTTCTTCTTGATCTATATGCAAAATAATTAAGAATCTTTTGGTATCGCTTACATATTAAGCTGTTTCGTTGTCTGGGATTGTTAAGTAGCTAACGGAGATAAATATATCCTTCAGCTCAGTCGAAATACCTCTTCTAGGAAAGGTGTGTGTTTATAGGCCTAGAATCTTTGCTATATCTCTTTCATCTTTTTTATCTGCCTCTTACAAACAAAGCCTCTTACAAAAACTAAACTGTGATTAAATCAACGCACGAAAAGGATTCCCATCAAGTTGCAGACTTATATTTTACCCATGTTCCAGCTCTATAACGGTGGTACACGCTCGACGTCATTCCTCCATCCTTATCCAATCATTATAAACTTGTTCGCTCACTCACTCCTATCGCTAAGTCATATTCGAGTGCTTATTTATGCTGCTAACCTATTCATCTCAAAATTATTTGATCGTTTACCTCTGATGTCACTGCGTTTTTGTATCGAAATGATAGCGCAACAGCTTCCTTTGGTACCACACCAAACATCAACAGCGGTAACAAAAGTAACGGCGCATCATCGAGTCACCGTTTTTTTTCTTGACTCGCCTGTCTAGACTCACCAGTTTTAATCGTCACCGTATAGACGGGGCTTCGAAATCCGTCCTGCCATAGTGATGCTTGCAATAACAAATTGCCCGCTCTTTCTCAAGTCAAGATGTCAACGACCACTAATATCCGTTGCGACGGCCGCAGCAACAACAACGTGTTTCGTGGAACCTAAGTGCCGCTAATACTGTAGATGGAGTCGTCGCTCAAGGACCGCTTTGGTACGACATGGCCAGGCCGGTTCGATTCACCCCCACTCAAGCCAGCTGACGCAGTCGTGGCATCCATGAGCAACTGTTTATTCCAGTCATTGGACGTCCTCTTGTTGTCGTCTATTTAAGAGCAAACAACAGCAGCTGACGAGAAAGATAGGATGGTGGACGCAATCGGCATCTGTCGTCTACTCGAATGGGGGAAATGGGGCGGTCATTAAATGCGAGATTTTCCTTGAGCGGTTTAGTGCCGGTCGCCGATGCTTGCTGTTGTTGTCGAATGATGATGATGCTATTTTAGCTGGGTTTGAAGAAGTTGGTAGCGAATTGTATATTTCGACCTGCAGAACTTACTCTGTCCATGCTGTTTGAAGTAAGCTAGCCGGGTATACGTTACGGTGTATTTTTGTACTTGGACCATTAAGCACTACTTCAAATGGGTCTTGCCGTACCTATCTATGTTTGTCTTCAACAGACTATGAAGCGGCGTGGTAATAACATGCTGTAGTAACCATTTGCCAACGCTAAAATTTGGACCAGCAGTGGTCGACGCCCCAAACGCTTCGCTTGAAATGCACCAGGCGGATTATTGTACGTAATGGCTCGAGAGTAGTTGTACTACTGTATAAAAAAAGAAAAAGAGAGAAAACCAAAATTAGCCTTATCGTAGGGTCAAAAAAGATGGATTAACAATTAAGGGGAAAATTACTTCATCTTGGCTTGAGAAAAGTTAAACTTATAGCTTTAGCAGACTCTGTTTCATGTATTAATTTCGAATTTTAATTTAATTTTAAGTTTATTTAATTTTGAGTTAAGTAAAATGTTATTTTTATTGTCTTACTAAGTTATTTCTGTTCACTGGCAAATTTTTCTGAAAGTTATATACCGTCTCAGTTTGCCGATGATCTTCGAAGGAATGCAACAAATGTGGCGCCGAACCCCCAAACCATTGGCCTGTTAGATTATTGCTAACTTAATGAGTTTGTTTAACTTGGGCATGTTAGCTGATTACGACAGGTATTTAATAAATCATACACGAAATATGAGACTAAAAAAGGGGAACATTTTATGCATACGGGTATTTTCAGTATCTTATTGTTATCACTGCTATTATTTTGTATCGATTCTATCGTCGGTTTTCCCGTCCACACATTTATTCTGCAAGCCTTATCAGGTACTTTAACGCTCAGTTGGAACAGCGACGCCGGACGTTACTACTATGTCGGCATAATAACAAACTCTAACGTCACTGCTACCTCTCAAAAAAGCAGGAGATTGATTTAACGGTAAATTCGTCATAGTGAGGTATATGGGCTATCCTCGTGATACTGACACCCATAGAAATCTTAGGGAAAAGAAAGAGACGGCTCAACGTAGTAGATACCAAGCCTTGCTCACTGTGAACAAGATGTAAATTTTCAGAGTAGTTTCGCACAGAGTATAGGTGAACTTCTGGCATGGGCCAATGTTGCAGCAGAAAAATACATACGACTCTCGAGATTTGAGGGTTTCGTTTTTTGTGGGTAATATCTGTTTGGTGTATGAATCTCTACGGTTGTCAGCCAATGTCGTGTCGATCAAAGACGCCTCGAGGCAAATGGAAACCAAAACAAATGAAAATTATCTATTATGGTTGAAACTGAAAATGAGTTAATGCCCGCCTAAATTCTGATCAGTTGTAAGTTTTTCTAATAAGACTTTTTTGTGATCTTTGACAGGTGCCCGTTCCTTCATCGGACCGCTGGCGACACGGAACGTCGATACCATCTTCGATACTACAAGGTAACATGTTGGCAGCCCCTTAAAAGATATTAAACAAAAGACAAATAGAAGTACATTAATAACAAATTCACCGAATACATACAGGATGCCCGATTCAACTGAGGACATAACTGATATCATCTGTTGATACATTCTGGATACATTTTAATGCGGATGGCAAACATTTGTTTATTCGATGTAACCTCTGTTTGCTTTGTGGCTTTCATTGTGGAACTTGTGGAACATTGTGTGTGTTAAAACCTTTACATATCATTTTCAAAATACGGTTTATATTCATAACGTTAATTACGCAATACTTGGCTCTAAAATCGATAAAGTTCCACGTAAACACGCTACACACAATATACACCATTGTAAACTCTTAAACTGTTTGCTAAAATGTTTGCCTCCATTAGAAACTTCAATACCTAAGTCTTACCTTTGAGCTTAATGTTGAGATTTAGTTCTAGCCAAAATGAAACGTTTTTGAATTAGTGAAATGCACCAACAGTATTTTTCTATATAATTTCATGTCAATTGTTAAAGATTTTGTCGTTGGTAAAGAAGCGAGCACTGTCAAATGGTTGCGGCTTAAAATAGTTGGTTTTCGCTCATATACGTCTCTCATCTGCCATAATTGACTTAGTTTAAGCACTAGAAATAGCTGATACAGGCATACCCACTGCAACAAACAACCCACCAAAATTTATATACATATACACAAACCTACTATATTAAAGTATGCTAAAGTGCTGTTGCATATCGTTTGGCGATCATCTGTTAGATAGCTCAATGGGGGGCTTCAACCATGTTCTACTTTTTGATATACGAAGCGAGGCCCTCAAAAATTTTTTAGTCATATATGTTTATATAGACTCCTTTGTAATGGCATAACTACTCTCTACCAACAGACGGGCATATGTGTGTACGATACCGATGGCCGAGGACACTGCGTTAAAAATGGGCCACACTGTGCTTTTGCGCATGGCCTACATGATCTCCGCAATCCCGTATACGACATCCGCGAGATTCAAGGGAAGATTCTTAACGACGACGGCACGGAAGTCGATGCCAACGGAGTTCTCGTGACAAATTCGCTCGACAAGGATCGAAATGCAATTAGTGAGGATCCACGTTGGCAGGTGGGCTCATCAAGCTTGAATCAAGATTATGCTGCCGTATGATGTAAACTTAGTTACAAATCGTAATATGTAACTCCTGGCTGAATTTTTACACTAATAACCCTTTGTAATCCATGTATGCGCGTTTTACAGAACTGCTATACACTAGTTCTCGTAGCACGTCTACCTATTTATTTGCTTTACGTATGCCGAATATTTAAATACACACTATACATTTAATGGTGTCGTATATTTTAATAACAAGCTACCTCGGCAGACGTGATGTATGTTCATAAATCTATAAGAAAAAAAAAGAATCGTCGTGTATAATGGTTCCAGGACACGAATTACGTCCTGGGCAACTACAAAACCGAGGCCTGTAAGCGACCACCTCGCCTTTGCCGACAGGGATACGCCTGCCCTCAATACCATAATAGCCGAGATAAACGAAGGCCCCCGCAAAAGTTTAAGTATCGGAGCACACCTTGTCCTAACGTCAAGCAGGTAAGTTACTGTTAATTCAATTACTCCCGCGAATTGCAGTACCATTAGCGTGATGATCATCAAGGACTACTTCTGAACGTGCCCTGTAGTTCCCATTGCTGTTTCGAACAAATTTTTCACGCTCCGCAAAAGCGAACGCTAAACAATTGCACGGCAAATTACAAGCGAAATTTTTCAAAATTACCGTGTTTCGGTCTTTTAGTTATTTTAACTAATACTTTTTCTAGGGCGATGAGTGGGGTGATCCAGCTAATTGCGAGGGGGGCGACCAGTGTACTTACTGCCACACTCGTACGGAGCAGCAGTTTCATCCCGAGATTTACAAGTCGACGAAGTGTAATGACATGCAACAAACGTCATTCTGTCCACGAGGACCATTCTGCGCGTTCGCTCACGTCGACAAAGAAATGAGCGTGGTGCGTGAATTGGCCGCAGAGGCTGCTGGTGGAACGAATCTAGCTTCGATCCTCTCAAATGTCTTGCCACCGGGACCGGCGAGCTCACCGAATACCAGCACGAGTGCGGGTGGCGGTGGCCAGGGCAGCAACAAACCGCCGCACGAGAACGGTTCAACGCCTAATTCAGCGCTCGAGCTGCAACAGCAACAACAACATGGGTTTAATATGGGACCTATTGGACGGCCCCGATCATACAGTACATCCCACGCGGCCGCAGTTCAGCACCATCTCCAGCTCAAGGTGCGCAAGCATAAGCAATTATATTCAATGTATCTATATTATCCGTATCCCTAAATGTATGTGTCCACTTCTCTGTCGAATCGCCAAATGATCACATTGGACTATCAAATCGTCTATGTCTGTCTGTCCGGCTGTGTGGCTGAAATAGCGCCGTAAAGGATTAAGTTGGGCTGTTTTTTCTCTTTGTCTTTGTAGTATTGTTCTGGGAAGATTTGCGCGGAAGATGGAGCTAACAGGCCAAACGTTTTTCTCCTTAAAAGAGGAAGTTTTTTCCATAACCACGTATTGTCAAGTTAGTTGGCCATGAGTCGATGGTGTTCACAAAGGCCAAGCCGAAAACCGGCAAAAATCTTAAATGTACGAACGTACATTTCTGTTTCGCCAGTTGTGCTCCACAAAAGAACCATATGTATCAACTATATTGTAGAAGAAGCTACTAGGGAATAGCTGGTTTCTGTTCAATATTATCTTTACTATAGGTATAGTTAGCCTTTCGCTCCTAAACAGGTAATATAAAATGTGTTTAATGGTAAAACAAGCGCGCGATGGTGTTTATAGTGATATATATATGTTTCAGATTTAAAAGTAATTTCCTTTCTGGGGTTGCTGGCAATAACTGGTGAGATTATTTAGCAAGAAACAAAACAAATAATTTTTCACGCCATTTTACTCGCTGTCGCAGACCATGGAGTCGGCTCTGCCTCACTGGAAAGCGCCTGGCTGCGAACGGGAAGAACAGGCAATGCGCAAACATCGGGCGAAGACGATGGATGGACCTCACGCCAAAGATTGGCCCTCGTCACTGGCTGTCGGCTATGGTTTTCCGAACACAGTTGAATCCGTCGTTGGAAAGGTATAGAAGTGACAGGGTTGTAGTTGTGACAGTTGCTATTTTCGAAATAATTCTTGAGCCTTCAAAGCGCTACTGATCGTAGCAATGGAAAGCGTTTGCAATACACCCGTTTTGCCGTTTAGCAGCAGTTAATAATATCAGATTAGCTTTATTTCCCACTACCTAACAAATTATTTCGCTCCACATTGGCTTTCGTCAGGCGCTGGATGAGTTCGGCCTTGAAGATATCGACGTGGAGGCATGTCTTGATAAAGACCTCGTTGAGGAGTGCGCACAGCCTAATCACAATCTCAATCATGTCCACACCGGGCATAATCATAATCATAATCCTGTTGCGTCATCGCTAAACCAGGGTCTCGTTAATTCCGGCTTGATCCCGCACCCGACGCCAAATACTTCTGCGAGTCCTCACCAACTGCAGCATCCGCAGCTGTCAGGCAACAACTCGCAACCCGTCAACATTCCTGGCAGAGAAAGGTATAATAGCTACCTATCGTGAAGTATAGCCATCGTAACGGATGCAAAATGATTGTTAGCTGGGTTATATACCTGCTCGAGTACGTTTCTAAGGTCGTTTGTCTAAACTTATTGTCTTCTTCATTTTACAACAAACACGCTAAAACACAAGTTTATCCGCGTGCTTTTTCTCTTTTCACATATAGAGTGATATAGAATTATAGACCCTGCCAGATGTCCTCTTATTATATAACGTTATTTCTGCATTTGTCTTTAATCAAACAGTGCGGGACTGTGGTTTTGTTCAAAAACAAGGTTGTGATGTTAGCCTTTAAACTGTTTTTTGTTTTGGCGATAGAATATATACCGCTGTGTATTGTTGCTAAATCCTTTATCTCGGAATTCACTTGCCGCCTATCCAACGTTAGGATTGTGTGTAAGGTCATATATATATATAATTGAGTACACGTGAATTACGCGACTCATGTCAGCTATCAAAAGGTATTGAAGTGTTTGCAGAGATTCTACGCTTACATCATTGCAGAGATTGTAAACGTAACCTATTTCTATCCTGCTTCTCACATTCGTAACTCTAACGAGTGACCCATTTCGACACTTGTCTCTCACAGGCCTTCATCTCCGCCATCCTCGTTGGTGGGTAGTATAGATAAAAGTGCTGCAGCATTTTATGGATCACCCTTCGCAGCTGGTTTTAGTGGTTACGCTGGTGGTGTCTCGGGTGCGCCCCCTTCGCCTTCCAGTCGGCTATGGCCTGACTCCCAGCCTCCAGGAGCACCTGGAGTACCTGTCTCCGGAAACAACCTTAGTAACATGAATAGCATGAATTCAGGAGGCATGTGGAATGATCCTCAGATCCGAGCGGTCAGTATCTTCAAATCCGCGTGAACAGTAATGTTATTATGATCCAATTTCGACTTAATTTTGCTCTAACTGTGCAACTTATAAGTATCGGGTGTAGTCAAATTGTTTTCAACAAACGAAGAAGCGAATAGATGTTTATTTCGTTATTGATTCACATGTGCGTTTTATGACGCCTCTCATTATCGTTTTCGATTTTGTCACTTTATCAATCTCCTTGAATCGATTTAGATGTGCGAGGCGTACAAGACCCAGGCCGATGAGGCTATCCGACGAGAGAAAATTGCCGAGCAACAGCGCGACGAGGCATTAACACAACTGCAGAAGTTGCAGATGGAAAATCAACAGCTCCAACAACAGCAGCAGTGCTCTACTTTGGGTCAAATGGGTCTGCGACAGCTCGACCTCGAGCATCTGACACCGCCGCAGCTCCGTGCCCTCCAGGAACAGCTGCGCTCAGAACTGGATACCGTGGACAAAGTAAGCCAGCTGCAGCAAGAGCGACTGCGTATGGCTCAGCAACTGGCGGTTGCCACATCTCAGACTGGGTCACAGGGTGGAGGGCCACCTGGTAGCCAGCAGCGTCATCTCGCCGAACGGGATTACTGGGCAGGCCCACCGGGCAGGGGACACTGTTAGCTGGACACGTAAATTTATTCAACATAGGAATATTACAACAACTATAGATATACATATATAATATAGTGAAACCAAACGATATTACCACCAACACGATGCCATGACAAGAAAAAATGGTACATGGAGATGGGTTAGTTTTTTGTAGTAGTTGCTTGTAGAGCTCGTTTACTCGCTTTACGATTTGCCTTAGCAGACGACAATAACAATTATGACGACAACGGCAGTGGCGACTATTATAGTTTCATTTACATTTGCAGCGACATTAACAGCGATTCAACTATAGGAACATCGGCAGGGACAAACACATCGCCTCGTTGGCATTTCCTTCTTCTAAAAACTAACTATAAACACATAGTTAAGAAGTTAACACACTGCGCAAGTTTTTAGAAGGTCCACCGAGGTCATTCTTAATACAGACAGCCAAGTTAAAATTTGTGCTGATAAAACAAACAAGTCCAAACACTAAAAAGAATTACGGAGTTAAGTACTGAATTGTAATTTATCTGCTGCCAGATGGATGGGGCTGAACGAATCGTGGAATCTGGCATGGGGAAAGAAACAGATGCGTGCAAAAAAAAATCTACCTATCGCCTAAGCTATGTCTCCGTGTATTAGTGGCATTACACACGAAACTCGTAGCTAAGCAAACAAGATGGCCTATTGAGTAAGGCGAGTTACTTTCACAAAGACAAGCAGAGCTCACGTGCCGCTTGATGTCGACTTGCGCAGTCGACCAAATTCACAATAACAATAGATTTAGGAGAGGAAGAGCGCAAATGATCCGATTTCCACCCTGTGGCAAACAGTACATGACATCGGCAGGTAATCGAATTGGTTAGCGAATGTAAAACGAGCTCAATGCCGTTGTCCGCCAGACAAATCAAAGAACAGACATATATGCTCTGTAGTCAACGTATGGAGAGTGAGTGAATGAATCCACTAGAATATCGTAACGGGGAATCTATTGCGGGGGAGGCATTTGGTTGTATAGCCTGCTCAGCCGAAGTCTTCTATGCTAACGCTAGAACGATAGTAGTATAGCGAATCACTCGGGGTGGACCAGTAAGTAACAATTCCAATAGTATCGTACAGGAAACCAGTAGTATCTGTAAAATGGAAAAGGGGGGGGGGGTCTGCGATGATGATGGTAAAAGGTTAACGATGCGACAAGAGCAAAAACACTGTTTCGTTTCCAATGGGATTATCGACAAATTGTGAATCGGGCTGTAACTACCGAAGGCTCTATTTCTAAGAACGACAGCAGAGTTCAACGTTCAATGGTATTGGTCCGTATCTCACCACTTTTTTTTTTTTTTTTTTTTTTTTTTTTGTAAATTCAGCCCGTTCCCGCCGTTAGTGCCGACGTTAGTAGCTGGAATTACTGTTGTTAATGACGAAGTAACTGCTTGAAATACTCGTAGATCCTTGGTTCGTAGACTATATTTTGGTTAACTTTTGAATTTCGCGCATAAACATGAAGTTACCTAAATGTATCGAAAAGATAGAAGCTTATTTTCCTGTGCGATACTTTAATATTAAAACTTTATCTTTATAATAGGATAAGGTTTTAACAATATAATTTATATTACATTAATGTTTAATTATTATTATTGCTGCTACGATTGCTTTTATATATGTGTGCTATACGTTTAATCTATTTTTTTTGTATATATTGTCTTATAGACATCTATAGAAGTACGTTTGCTATCAGGAGCTCGGAAATTTACGGCCGATCGCAAACAATATATATATGTATGTGTGTGTGTGTGTGTTTGTGTGTGATCGTTGCAAGGTCACGATGGAAGAAAGAGAGAAGAGGCGGATACGGCGTGTGTGAGTAGGAACTGGAAGGTTTACAGACTATTTAGATACCATAATACGTTAACATAGTGCATAACTAACTGTTCAACGACTTGGGTTTTCTAATGCTCGTTTGCTGATGATCAAGTGGTGTAAATTGTTGAAAACCTGTTTTGCTCTACAAAGCCGTTGCATATGTTTTATCCAGATATGATATGTAGCTGAGAGTCGTATGAAGAATTCGCTTAACAATAGCATCTTAAACTTAAAAAACTCGTTCTGTATGATTTTTGGGATTCGATTTGAAGCAGCCTAATTATTGAGTAAGCCTGTGTTTTTCTGCTGTGTAAGGAACAAATATCCTAGGTTGATTCCGCAGCTATCGGTTTCGCTAAAGATTCGATCCTGTAAATTCTCTTATTTAGACTCCGAAAAACTTATCTTTGGGAGTCCACATTTCAGGTAACACTTTGTGATTTGGCCAAGGTTTTGGCTGGGTGGCTGGTGTACCAAGGAGAACCTTTCCAGCGATTTACAAAACTTGACCATTAAGAGACGAGACGTTAGGAAAGAAAATCTGTTGGCAAACGGCCATTACTTATGCACCCAGCTGATATATATGAATACGAGATACGACCAATTTTTCGCATACCGTGTAAACGTGACTTGCTAGAATCGTTAGACAATTATAATATTTAAACGTTGCATTAGCAAACGCACACATCAGGGAATTCAAATCACATCATAAGCAAAATGGGACAACAAATGAGGAGCATTGCTCTCTGGTTTAATGGCTAAAAACCGAAGAGGCAAGGAACAACAAGATACAGAAGTGTCATCTATCAGTTACAAGATGCGGACACCATTTTCAGCTGGTCTTGATCGGAGACTACAGGCCTGGCTTTAGATAACATTTCATCCTCTGTCCTCCCGTCAGCATCATAGACACTCGACGAAAAAGGGTAGTAAATGTATGGCACTGCAGCATGCTGGAAAATCCAGTCATCTCTGCCCTTCCAACTTGAATATAACGTTAACCAAGCAATTTCTTAGGGTGGAGCAGTGTACAGTTGTACACAACTGCACAGCTATGGTCTATAGTGTTTGGGTCCCGAGTTTTTCTGACTCGTTGGGAGTCGTGCATATGAATGTTTATCTGCACAAAAAAAAAGCTGAAGAATTGCTCGAAGTGCTAGAGAAGGCGTGTATGACCGAAGATCAATTCCTTTTTTGGAATTTGCAAGTAATGTACTATAGGTGTTGAATTTAATCTACTTAGAAGGAGAAAAACATTTGTATAGTCACGTTCGCTTTCTGCGTTGTTTCGCTGATGGACCACTATTTTATGAATTTTTTAGCAAATAATTTTGTGTTAATTGCAGTGCACATTCATCGAAACTTAAAACGAGTTACTCAAGTGAAGAGGCAAATGATTCTAAAAGAAGTTTGGCGCTCGATTCTTGGATGTTCTCCTCAACTATGTATACACATATATGCAGTATGTTGTCATATTTTTTCGTATTTTTCTGCGACTCGCAGAAAAAATAAGCAAGAGTAGTAACAACCTTCTTGAAAAAGTAAGCTTCCAATAATTAAGCATATAGAAAAACCTGCCCACCCATTTAGTCACACATTTACAAATCTGATATATATATATATATATATATATATATATATTTCCCTATTTAATTTAGGGTAAATTTGTGTTGAGAGAATGTAACCGGTGTATGTGATGAGTACGAGTCAAGCACAGCTAAAAAGTGACGACAAACGATCGCTAGCGTATAACAACTAATCTAGGCTTTTCAAAAAATAAACCAATTCTCTAATTACTCTATACTGTATTGCTTTGAAATACAATTGATAGCAACAGTTTTTTTCTAAAGGCGGAAGATAGTTACTAATGGTTTAATATAGGTGCCTACCTGTATGGGAAACAGCCAGATCTCGCATCTTCTATCCGATGAAGTTGTGGAGGGAGATCAAGTCGCAATCAGAGAAAAACCGCTGTTCCCGAAAGATACGAGTTCTTGCTAATGATAAATTCAACCAGGTGATAACTATCAACAGAGTGCTGCACCTGTATCCATTCTTCTGAATAGGAAAATTTCTAATTTATAGGGGTGACAATTTATGAAAATTACAAATATCAAGATTAGAAAAAACATTGATAGGCTATTAAACATATTGAGAAAACGTAGCCAATTTTGCATGGCTGGCTTTTCCAAGAAGGCTTGTCCTCGCATTACGATGTTTTTAGGTTTTCAAATTAATAAGGAGATAGATACTAGAAGAGAGAGAGAGAGAAAGAGAGAAAGCGAAAGGGAGAGAGAGAGAAAGCGAAAAACCATGAGAATTGTCCCGAAAACTGAGGCAATACGGAGTAGTGTTTTTCTGCAGTAGCGTTTGTAAAGTAAGGAAAAAAATAACGATCTATTTTTAATCGACTGTAATAACAGTCGTGGTTTACGTGGGCTGGTTTTTCGTCAATGACGGTGGCTTTCTGTCTGCTGTTAACGGTGATATATATATATATATATATTGGTATTAATTTTTGTAACTAGCAAATCATGTAACGAAACTAATGAGGCGCAAGGACACCTTTCATAAATGAAGTCGCACAGGACAGTGCGAGTTCAGTGAATTCTCATGACTATCAGACAAGCTTAACGTGTTGAGTTCAATAGAAAAGGAAGGGAGTGGAGCTCAAACGCGGAAATTTCCATTCAATAGAAATAAAATACATGGTGAGGTGAGTTACACTAAAGATAATGCCTTGAAGCATGGCTGCTGTACATAATATTTGTCCACCGAACCCAGCCCGCGTAGCACCTGTAGCTAGCGGATCAAACTCAACAAGATAGCTATCTAGGCCTCCTTAAGAAAAAATCAATGCGAACTACATTCATTGAGTCCAGTTGAATATGGAAAATTTAGGTAAGGATTTGTAAAGTGGCTGCCCTATCTATGAAGATGCGTATTTGAGTCTATTGGTCAGGACCAGCCGCCTTGGCATGGATTCACATCGAATGGAGCGATCAAATATGTACTGGTGATGACTAGTAATGCTAATTTTGAATCAAGGAAGAGAGAGTAACTTAATGTCCTTATACATAACAGATTCTAATTAACTACGGAAAAAGGATATGCATTTTACCTGTTTTGATCTGAACGCTGAGTGAAATAATCACTAGGACGTGTGTCTGTATATGAGTGTATTTGTTATGTTAAACGCTTGCCTGATTTGCCAAGAATTTGAATGTGTCAAGATGAAAAATGTTGTCCCTATAGACAAAGCAATTGGCGGGTTGCGTCACGAGAGACACAGAGTTCGGCGGCGCTAATGTTCAGGGAAAATACCCACCTCCTGCCTATAACTGATTAAGTTATTATAGAAATGGTAAACACTTATAATAATGTGTCCTTTTTATTTGTTTTGTTTTTTGTTTACTTGCATTTTTATTATAACTATAACCAATATATATATATATATATATATATATATATATATATATATATGAGAGAGAGAGAGAGAGAGGGAGGATACTGCTGTGTTTTGCCTGATTAAAATTTTTAGATGACAAAGGAAATAGGGCAAGCAAGGGGCCAGATGGCGCTAAAATACACATGTTGTATACGGAAAGATAGTTGATCTATGGAATACATAATATTTTATTATTGGTAGAAACGAAAGTTATTATTTTCGATATATCTATAGATGTATGATGTGCGTAATCGTAATTAGCAATTAACTATAAATTAGTGCTGCAATTACATATGCGCGGCCGCCATGTGAACTAATGTGCGCATGACATCGTTTGTGTCCGCTGATTGTGATGGACGGAAGATGTAGATCATGATAAAAAAAAACTGGTATAATAATGCTAACAGTAATAAACTACTAATATTAACAATAAAATCGCTGGTGGTCATGATAGTGAAAAAGCTAACGCCTGTATAATATAAGCGTCATTTGAGTCACCTGAAGCTCTACTTAAAGACTGCACATAAATAGCGTCCGAATCACTATCGTGTATCTGAATGTTTACAAAAGACGGAAGTACTAATAACAATACAGATGTCACTTACAAAGAAAAGCTTCCATTAAGACACCTCAACATATCTGCAGGAAACGAGAGATGCTAAGATGACAAAACGCAAAAAACCGTTAGCGAGCCAACACGATATTAAACGCAAGATAATAACTAGCGTTATAATAACTGTTGTGAGAAAAAAAAATACATGATAGACAGAACACTGAAACGAGTGCGGTGATTATTGGCTAAGGTAGATGGCAACAGCCGAAACGAAACGGCAACAAGTAAATGAAAGTAATAATATTATCCATCAATATTATAGTAATAATAGCAGCATTATCAAAAAAAAACTAATTAATAATCATATAACAATACCACAACTGGTACTATGGCATATATAATACAGTCATACATATAATATTGACGATGGACGATAAAGACGACGTGATCAATAATCATCATATTATAATATTTAGGGGGAGAGACGAAACAATAGCGAAAGAGATATACGACACACACACATATATATATATATATACATAGAAAGCCTCGTAAAGCAAAAACACATAGTTAGGAGTCTTTATCGATGATGGTGATCAATTATTACTATTATTATAGCAAAGATTACAATACTAAGAAAGATAATAAGAAAATAAAAACAGCGACGAAAATTCAACCGAAAATCGTTCAATTTTGAAAGACTAGACGAAAATTAATTAGGACAACTGGGACGAGTGTGAACGTTAAAGAATGAGAGAGAGAGAAAGAGAAAGAGAGCGAGAGAGAAAGAGAAAAAACAAAATAAACATGAACGCCAGCAAAACAGGGAGAGAACGCGGACGGCTGAGAGAAAAGACTGGAAAGAAAAAGAAGAAGACGAGAGTATTTAATAATAATAATAATAATAATAATGAAAAAGAAGAATAATTAAAAAATAATAAATTGTTTGATTTACGTAAAAAAGGACATGGTTGCATGTGCTTTTATTTTTTTAATACTATGATATTTTACCAAACTGTGTTGGCTACTAACTCGACTGGTTTCATGTGTGTGTGGGTGAAGCGTGTTCTTATGGATGTATCCACGGTTGTTGGGTCTGTTAAATTGTTTAATTAGAGTTATCTCAATATAACGCTACGTTGGTTCTATTTAATCAGGAAAACCGTACTTTATTCATTTGGATATTGACTTTGATGTATTAAAATCGAATTTAGGCATAATCGAGAGGCCAGTGTTTGATGACGACATTTTGCAAGTACTTAGGGCAAAAGTACTTATTAACGAATCCTTCTGTAGAATGTTTCGAAAATAGCGTACCGATTGTCTTCTGTTGTGAATGAGATGCCACGAGCAGAATCGTTGGATTTTGGATTGAAGAGCTTTGATTGTATGAAAGGATACTGATCATTAAGGTATGAAAGAGTTTAAGTTTAATCTTTAGCACATCAGCATCACTATAAGGCATCATGGGTGATACGTCAATATTCGCGATGTACCGCTTGGGTAGGAAACTACTACACGAGTCTATGCTTTCATTGAAAATCTTTCGTAGCTATGTATACCTACGTAGAAATAAATATATAATTAAGCGGTCATAAACAACAAACATAAATTGAACAATATTTTGGATGTGCAGTGTAATGAATTGCGGCAGCAGTAATCATAAATTAGTCATTTACATTCTCAGTAACCAGTGCCATAGATGTAGCCATACAAACTTATGTGCAGAAGCAACAAAAGTTAAGGGAGAAATATAACAGAAAATTGAACAAAGATTTTAGCTAACTTACTATTATAGCATATGTTTGGATGAGCATATTTAGTTATCTAAGATAATAAATTTTCGGTTTGCTTAAACTTATTAATTGGTCTGTGCATAATACCCCAGGGCATAATATAAGTTGAATAGTATTCTACACCGAACAAGGATTACCCGCCTTTCAGTAGGAGGGCCGCATCTTATATAACCGATGTGGCCATATCGTGTTCCTGCGGGTGGGCCCTTTCTCGATTTAAACAAAGCTTTGATTAATACTATCCTAGCGTGCTACACGTAGTTGTTTTTGTATGTTTGTTTTGAACAGAAATACTGCGAGTTGCGCATCATACGGAAAGCGGAACTCACTAGTTGCCATATTGACCAGTATACATACTGAACAAATTTCGTTCCCTAAGTGCACGTTGACATATTTGACACTGGGTTATTATTGTTTACTACACACTTCTCGACATATACAATGATAGTTGATCCACTGCATATTTTCCCTTTGCACGATTAGGCTGGGTGAAGTGCTGAATCTAGCCCTGTCCTGTTGGTTTTCTCGTAGGCGTTGATTCTCCGTCAGCAAGGATCCTTTTGCTCGTCGTTAAGTATCGCCATGGGCGACTTCTGCGTGGTATGTCAACATCCGCTGGCAGCAGCAGCTTGTTGTGCGAGATACGCTGTGTCTACATCGTATCAGAAAAGGCCCTGTCCGCTCTGCATCAAAGGTGGCGGCGTCGGTGGCCAGCAGAGTCAGTCAGGACCCCGAAGCATGATCTCGCAAAATATGTGGCAACAACTCGAGCTCACGGCGCCACAGCCGCATCAGATCAACCGGTCAAGGGTAAACGAGTGTAAATTTAAGGACAAAGTTGCATAACAGATAGTTTTCGAATGGGGAATGCTCTAGACCTCGTGTCACATTAAGCCAGCGCAAACTGTTATCTGAATCAGATTGCGCGATTAGCCAAGGTAAAGGACGAAAAGAAACCGGAAAGTAGTACGGCGGAAAATACGACGCATTTTGCAAGAAGAATACATCAACTCGTCAGAAGTATCAAGCTAAGCCTCCGACCTCGGTCGATTAGGTCGCACGAACGTCGTCCACAACAAAGGACAGCAGTGCAAACTTAAGAGAAGAAGTCGAGGAGGAAGGCAAGTCGTGACAGCATCTTCAATTATTGATGGTAAATCGCGCAGAGAATGACAGGTGAGACTGCTAGCTCATGTGGGCTTGACGAGGCGAGAAGTAGCAACTCGGCCTTTACGAACCTTCTTTCTATTCAGACTGTTATAGAGAGAAATCAGTCTGAATACACGAGCCAATAGCGCTGGCAGACTGTTTGTGTTGTGAGTCGAACTAAACTCTTAGGCAATTGTATGTACCGTTGCACTACGTATGACAATTTTGTATTACTAGATTTTCCTCGGAGTTACTTCTATTATTATCTCTCCCTGTTATTGTCTAATACAAATTCGTACAAGTTACGACAATAGAGCGTGAGAAATTGTGGGGAAAGATAAAAATCTGTTTTGGCGCCGTATGACATGGCCACGCTGTTCTAAAGCGATGATGCATGATGGTTAGCTAGTTCCTGGAAGCAAGGCCTTCAAGGTGAAAATGACCTGAATAAGAAAGGCTCTCAAATATTAAAAAGTAGTCATGTGACGTGCCGATTGGATTGTATATAGGTAGTACTTGAATACGTTGTTCATAGGCGTTGTACATTTATTAGCAGTGGCGAAATTTTTTTCGGCTTCTGTTGATTTAAGCAACCGAGGCTATTGTGAACTTGGTCTTTTTTTCGTTTCATTTTCCTTGGTATAATTGTAGGCTATTAAAGTAATACGCCGTCTAATTATCGTTTATGTCTTCATTTGAACCAGCGACTATTAACTTCCATTTTCTGTACAGTCAACAAACTGCTTCCTCACGGTACCGGCTTTTCAATGCTAGCAGTATACAATATTTACTATCATATAAGGCGTACAGACACACGAAACATTTTGCCCATTAACTGTGTGTCCCTTAATTTGTACGCGCGCGCGCGCGGTGCTCACTATTTGAATTCGAATATTATATATAAATATAGTTTAACGTGCAGTAACGGTAAGATATATGTATGATTTCATAATGCTATTATTACTAATAAGTATATATTATAAAAGGTTGGTCGTTGAAAGTGCAACATATTTGCCGGTTACATAGCCGGGGCCGCATAACATAACATCGACAACCCTTGATAGTACTTCGTTCTACTGTAATGTACTAATGAAGGCGTACATTTCCATCTACTATTGTCTGTAAGGGACAAATTGACTGAAAATAATCGTAGGAGTGTTTCTAACTAGACACCAGAGTCACTCCGAAGGAACAAAATTCTAACAAGATTATAATTCTAAGAGCACTTTAATATACGCCAGAAAATTACCGGTACATAAGGTATGTATTGTGAGGGTTTACAAATGCAAAGTAACATGTCATTCTAAGGCGCGCAAATAGTGGCAAGAAAATCGGCCCATTACCGTTAACAACATCTTGGCTCTCCGTCTTACAGTTTCCCTGTGTATTATACATACTCTATGAGAATGCCACCTAGCTATCAGTAGTAACCTCCTACGAGCAGTAAAATAATGGATTGATATCGAGCTTATTGAAAATATTGGTTAAGCAATCGCTAGGATTCTAGCCTCGAGACAAAGAACAGACACAGACCGAATGCTAGTCTTATAATTATTATTTTTTATTATATTTTAGTGTAGAGATGGTGTAAGATTGGAAAATTCATAGTTGCGGCTGTATTGAAGATAATTGCGACGTTGATGGTATGAAACACTATACTATAATAGCAAGCAAATAGTGCTATTAGCGATGATATACATAATTTTGCGTCGTGAGAAGTTAAATTGTAAAAAATATTTTAGAACAATACAACATTCTCTTAGTTACACGTATTTGTTCTTGATGTAAATTGATCAAATGTAAGGAAGAAGACATATCAATACTGTAACGAAAGCTGTAAGTAACTTCTATATATACTCGTAGTTTATTATAGCTTTTCTAAAGTGGACTAGGAACTATTCTATGAAATACAATAGAAACAGTAATAAGGAAAAAGTAGTAGTAATAATAATTTATTATAGCTACGTAACTTATCTTACATTTTTTTTTATTATAACTTTTGCTACTACAATTCCTGCCTTTTGTTAGTAGTGAAACAGAACGAACATACGAATTTGACTGTGATGTACGTATATCACACACACACATATATATTTGTCTATGTTTATCATTAATATATTCATCATGTGATATGGAAAGCAACTCTGAAATTACAGTCATAATCGTTCCAAAAGCAGTACAAATCTGCTAAATGAAGTAAGTTTGGCTTCAGAGCAGACTGAATGAATATACGATGTAACGAATAATGCCGAATTATTTGTCCTATAATTTTATATTTATAAGAACAATAATTTTTTCTAATAATAATAATAATAATAGTTATAATGTGTTAAGTAAGTTTTAGTAAGTTGTAAATAGTGAAAGCTAGTATACTAACTTGGTGTCTTTAAAACCAACTACAAATAATAAAACATTAAACTTAGTAATATACTAAGAATTTACTATTACCGATAAATTCATAAATTACATTGCGCCTGGCATGCGAGAATTTTGCTGGCTTCCTAATCATTGTATTATTACTCGGAATAAATTAGAAAGAGCGAAGTTTGGCGGCATAATTTGAACGCAGGATCAAAGCATCGGAGACTGGCTGGGCTTACTTTTCTAATAGCTTACATCATGGTGATTTAGACTTTCTCATACGTTCTCTCATAAAAAAGAAGCTACAAAGTATTGAAACGGATACTTTAGCAAAAGATAACCAATTTTAGCCAGATACTGTTTTCTCATACGTACATTTGTTCAGGAGAGCGGGACGTGCCAAATTATAATGCATTAACGAAAATCTTATTGAACAATGATCAATTAACAATGTTTACTGTAATCGAAAAAAGAAAAAGGTCGTAAAAATAATATAAGAATACTTATGTAATATAAGAATAATCATATGGAATAACATCGAAAGTAATAATAGTAGTGAGAAGAATACTCATCTGGAAGGGTCGTTGTGCAATAGCAATCTAACATACTTTACCTATTATAGCGGCGTAGTGAGCGGAATTAGTTAGTTGAGCCAAAATTAATTCGAAATAATACGTATTCAAATTTGAACGAATAATACGCAAAGGTAAAAGGCAATCAAAATTAATGCAGGACATTAAAGTTTCTATTGCGTACAAAGTATGCAATTTTTTTTATCAAAATTCTCTGTTTCGCCAATAATACATCATAATGTTTTGCTCTTACTATAGTAATAGTGATATAGGATCGTCCAAGTCGGAAGGAAGATATAAATAATCCACATAGAGCAAACTGAAAAAGGAGGTTTTATTCATATGGGGTACATTGTGTTTAGCCACGTTCACAACAGAGCTACCGAAAGATATTTCAGAAAAGCACTTAATTTATGTAGAGTTTTTGAATATTAATACAGATCTTTATGCAAGGAGCACTTTGTTGATTATAGTCGACGAGATCTATAAAATGAGATGAGCGATCCGTGTTCTTCTGCATGACCAAAGCAGAGGCTCATATCATGATTAAATACGTGAGCAACTCAAAAGTGAGGACTATAGATGTAGAACCGATTTCAACCTTTATCGATGGCCCTCGGCCGTCAGTAATATCTCCGAATTTCTAAATAACCTTCTGAAGGGGCAACTGGAGAAAAAGCAGGGTGGAGGCAATCGAAGAAAAGCACGTAGAACAAACAGCAAGGACGTATGGCATATGAGCGCGATCCAATCTAGAAATCCTAGACAATCTTTTGGTTAGAAGAAAATTCTACATTAAATTTTTTTATTTTTATTCTTTATTTATTATTTTGAAAGTTTTTATTTTTATTCGCCGTGAGAGGTTTCTTGGAGAAGAGCTGCCGTTGAAACCGCAGTCAGAACGACATTATAAGCAACTTTTTCAAACTATCTACAAAAAATCCAAAAGACATCGGTACCAATATCTGGCCGTTGTATAATCAAGCATAAACCTGTCCCTAGACTACTCAGAGCGAGCATCCTCAAGAGACTGAACATCAAAGGACGAACCTGCCACAGTCCTGGACTGCATGGATTCCATAACCTGGAAACGTTACGGGATTTAGCCAACGACTAATAATTACCTACAGTAAATGATAGTCAATGTTATGCACAAGGATATCATAGGATGAAACAGCCTTATTGGCAACGGGAGAGCACAGCCTTTTGTGCTAGAGGTCGCTTCTTTGCTATGTCTAAAAGCAACTAAACGAAGTTCATATTTATTAAGCCGCCCACCATTTTAATTAAATAAACTTGCACAGTAATCAAGCCAGGCACATGGTCAAAAATGTGCTGATGTCAACTTCTAAACCGATTGCAAAATTAGCCTCCGAAGCAATGATGGAAACCGCTGGAAAGGGCGTGCAGTACGTTAAGTTAAATTAATAGTGACAACAAAGTAAAAATCAGCCCCTAAAAAAGCCATTTTTATTTCGATGTTCAATTAGTATTTAGAAAGAGCCAGTGTAAAATGCAAAATCATGACTCGCCGGCAAAGCATTGACATGGTGCAATATTCAATATTTTGTTGCTGTTTTCGGTGCCATGATGATGCTAAGCAATCAAAACTCCCGTAGATTGAGCGAGTCTGTCCATCTGTAGCCATTTTCTTCGCTGGGTGCCAAATAGTAGTTGTTCGTCATCGGGTGCTACGGCGGAGCAAGGGCGGGAGGCGGAGATGTGCATGCAAATTCAAGAAGCACGTCGTTGAATGGGTCTAGAGTGATGCAATTTGCTCAAGAAAAGCGTTGTCGAAACTTTTCCCGTCTAGTAAAATTTACTTTATTTATGAATTGTAAGTTTGAGCGTTACTCAATAATGAGAAACATGACCGAAAGTGCATATACAAACAACAAGGAAATGCACGATGCTTGATTGTATTGATTAGTCTACCTAGTTCTGAGCGTACTCCAGAAATAATGTATATCAAAAAATGGAACGTTGCATTACGAAGTAAATACTTTACGAAAAGGAGGCTAAAACAAAACGAGTTCTAAACGAGGTGCTTAGCAATAAGGGCTAAGAGTAAGCACATAATCCTGCTTCGTTGGGTATTATGGCAATAGTGAATAAAGGAGAAAGTAATTAACTAATAGCCTCTTTTCGAGGAATAATACTGCACCAAATACGATCTAGGTGTCTAAAAAGGCCTTGCGCTTCTAAGTTACCAGGGTAAAACGAGCAATGTAACCGATCTGTTTGAAGTATTTTCACTCTCAGTGGCGCGCAGGTCAATCTCGCTAAGCCATCATTTTCCCGTGCATGCCACCAGGAAAACGATCGACACTCGTCGAGTAGTGGGCTTTAGCAGCACGAAGCGAAATAAACACTTCGTAACGACGTGCTTTTATAAACAGCGGCGTGACAAAGTAGAAGGGATCGGCGCTAACCGGCATTTTATATATATATACATATACATATATAATAGCGATAACAATTATTATAATAATAAAAATAGTAACAAGCAATTGTGGGCAGAGTAGAAAAGCAGTAAAATTATATGGGACAGCATCAGACAATTCCGGTTGAAATAGTATAAATGTCGTTAAATACTGTAGCGCTCGCAATGTGCTAGGACACTAATTTGCTTGTGGCCACTGACATAGAGGTACGGCCTTAAAAGGGCTCTAATAAAGATATGGAAACGTACACCATGAAATAGGTTAATAACAAGCTGAATATATATTCTTTTTAGAGGAGGAAAATATACATGGATAAGCTAATCTAATAAACATTTTATAATTGATGGAAACCACCGCAAGACAACCGAATTGGTCGGAACGAAAAAAAGCTATGTTTGGCGGTTGCCAGGAGCTGCAAAAATTTATTGATAATTAATTGTTGATTGACTCGCTGCAAGACCGCGGTTATAACCAATTAACATGGCCGTGGATGGCAAAACAGTGTTAAGGTGATTAAATAATGATAACATCGACAACGGGAAAAAAAATGTTAATAATAAATTTACGACTATGCCTGATTGAGAAAAACCATGACGCATATACAAACAAGAAACAATTCACAGTAAACAATGAACGCGGCACAATTTAAAATCAATTATTTCCTTGCGAGAATCATCATTTGCTGTATAGTAAACCATATGAAATATATCATTACCAGGCAACCATCATACAAATTTCGACCTGAGCGACTATATTGCCTGAGCTGTTGTAGGACAAAACTTTGGAAACAAAACGAGATTTTTGACAAAATCAATTATCACAAGAATATAAGATCGAATTGAGCCCTGGTAATTGATATCGTAGAGCTGCTTAGAACAGGTGAGACCGCGGTTCAAAGAAGTACAAGCTTTGTTGGGCGCAGATTTGAGGCTCTGTTATTCAAATATTTCATAGGTCTCTCATAAGCAACGCTTCAAAGACTGTCCTCTTTTACCACTTGTTATTTAAATTTCAATCGTGACAACTTGTTTCAATGTAACTAAGTAACAGTATGTCCCTTTTGAAACATCCTCCATGTAGGCAGTTTGGATCCGTCTTTGTCAAGTTAATTTAGCCAGCTAGGGAATTCTCGAGAACTCGATAAAAGTGTAATATAAATAAAACAAGTTAGATAACTTGCTTTATTTACACAGGTTGCGTCGTAGGCGAAACGAGTTACGACGATAATGTACAATATATAATTGATTAATGTTGTTTATGCATTCTTCAAAGTTGTTTCCGGCCTGTGGTACAGTCACGTTCGATATGTTTGTCGTCATCGAAGCGGGGCGCTCTATAACAATGTTTTAAGGATTTTTATGCTTGACATCAGTATTTTCTAAGATTTTGGTAACAACAAGTTATAATAATTTCATTCAAAATAGGGCCGGTCACACTCAACGGCGCACTATCAAACCAGAACACTGTCGGATTTTCCGTTCGTCTTGGCTGATCCGCTGCTCTCGTAAGTACCTCCAAGGTTAGAAAGAATCTTAAAATAATTATATTCTCTTTGACTTTCAAGCCCATCTTATTTTAAACATTTTCAGCGCCACTTGTCCAATACACTCTAGCAAACCTTTCCATCTTAAAAGGTCTCTTTAAGGTCAACATTCAACGCATTGTGACCTCTTATACACTGGCAGTGCTGTGGCTGCCGTTCCATGAATTACACATAGTAGGCGAAGTAATTCCTAGAAAAGTACAGCATGTCAAATTGTTCAAAGGATACAAAGGCTATGCTGCACATATTTTAGTTAAAAAAAAAAAAACTGGGGATGCTAAATTCAGCTTTAGTAATGCTTCACAGGGGTTCCTCAGCGTTCGAAACGAACATGTTAGAACACAAGAAGAGTATCGCCTCTCTCATAGAATCCCATGCCTGGCTTACCTTTCTTCTTAATCTTCTATCGTCTCTGGAGATGACGAAAACCCTCGTACCGCATTTTCTGTCTCGCCCCCTAAATTGTCATCTCTCAGGGGCAGATAACTGAAGGCATATCTTTCGAGATGTAAGATTAATCATTGTGTAAACCTGAAGAAGCAGCCACTATCGCAAGTGAACAGTCAGCTTGTTGAAGTTCGCTTATACAGTAATTCTCATTCAGGGTTACTGGAGAAATTTTGGTAACTAATAGAATTTCGAAGTTGTACTAGGCCTAATTAGGCACTGGTTAAAAAACTGTCGAAAACTTTCGATGACGATAGTGATGGCTTCGTCTTCAGTGCTCCGTGGAATCAGTTCCTCATTGAATCTACGATACTGTCTAACCGTTTTTGTGACTGTCAATCTACAGGTAGCCAACGGCCGCACTAGTTTCGTAAGTCAGTCCTTTTCCTCGACGGTTTTATATTCGAATAAGCATCAGATACTTGCTTATAACCGCGGTTCAGGGAAAGATTTCGTTGTACTTGATGATCCGAGCCGGACATCGGAAGTTGCCGCCTTCGATATTGATGTTGCCAATGGAAAGTTGTTTGTCGTGACTGTAAAAAAAGAATCTAACATCTCATCGACACAGATCGCTATAGCTACGATAGGGGGTAAACCCACGGTTCTATTTAAGGAGCACAGTTTTGATCACGTCGTAGACATAGCTTTTGACTGGATTACAAAAAATATGTATTTAGTTGTCGCGAATGGTAGCAAAATTGTTGTTTGTCGCACCGATCGGCCGTATTGTACAGACATCTTCAATGGACGAGACGGCGCCCACTCCATCCGTTTGGATACAGTGCGTGGGGACCTATACTGGGGCGAACGTCATGGTCGTGTCTATAAAGGTCGGATGGACGGAAAACTGAGCCAGATTTTTTTATTTGGAGATCCAAGCAAGACTGCTGAAATTGGCATTGATCTAGCTACTGAACGCTTTTATTGGCAAGGATCGCAAAGTAATATAGTTGAGTTCATTTACTTGAACAATGTAACTCAAAGTGAAATTGTAATCCCAGCAATACGAACTCCGTCCGCATTGGCTATCTCCCAAGATATGCTTTATTGGTCGGAGGTCTCAGAAAATAAAAGTACTCTTAGTATTTGCACCTCGCAAAGATGTACCAAGCAAACTGTTTTAGGCCAAACTGAAACAGCAAACTATTTCAAGTTGAAGCTGTCTAGCATGTCAATGCAACCGACTCGGCCTAATCCCTGCCGCAAGCGACCCTGTTCACATATTTGCGCCATATCCGGACCAGCCGACAATGACTTCAGCTGCCTTTGCCCGCGACATTTTTCATTGATCTCTAAAACACTTTGCGAAGTGACTGTGTCATCATTTTTCGTCGTTGTTGAAGAAGAGCTCTTTAAAGCTCCGGTTGATGCGGCACTAAATAATGATTTGAGCGTTCAAGATGAGGTGATGCGCGTTCCTCGTATGACAGAAATCGTTGTTGATGATGCCGAGTCTGTTTTATATGGTGTTACTTACGGCCAAGTTCCTAAACTTATTAAAATCAACATTAACAATGGACTCGTTACGGAGTTCTGGGCAGGAGCTTCCGAACACATCAAATCACTCGTGTTTGACCCATTGCATCGTCTACTGTATTGGCTTGACTCTCAACATAAGACCGTTGTTTTGTTCAACGTTGACCGTAAAGAGATGACACGCATACAATTACATTCAAGTCGAAGTGAAACTATAGCTGAGGATCTTGCCGTCGACTTTCGCAGAGGGTGAGCATTGTAGTGTGTAAAAGTGTTAATAATTTGCGTGTTCCATAAAGTTATGTGTCTATTATACTAACTGGGGAGACTGTCAGCTGGCAAAGTTGACGTCCGCGGTAAATTCAAACTAGTGCTTGGATTGTGTCGTAACTGTATTTTATAAGGTTTCCTAAAATTGACTTCAGACGGAATTTTTTTTCGTTGTATCTAAGATAGATAAATGTGCATATTTGTAAGAATATGCACATTTATCTATCTTAGATGATAACAAGGATGATAAACAAATGCTAATTTAAGCTAAACAAACAACACTGTTTGCTAAGAAGGAGGTTTCACTTACCATTATTAAGAGACGTTGAAAAAAAGTTGCGATGGAAGTTAACTTCGACTGGGCTGGTGTAGCATAGGTTGGGCCGGAAAGAGCCATCATCTGTATCAATGCTTAACGGTGACATCCGAGGAAAACTTGACATCCTGAAAATAGCCAAATAATAATCAAACAGTATTTTGAATTTACAGGATCTTCTATATACTATTCGAACTAAACGGTGTTCATCAAGATCGAGTCATACAACAATATGGTTTGGACGGTAGGCTTGAATCTGAGTTACCCAAGATGTCTTATAAGCCGGAACGTATTGCTATAGACCAATCAACCGGCAGTCTAGTGATGTCGGCAGCAGTCAGTAGTGAAGATTCAGTGCATAGAAACATTTTCGTATTTGATGTTCAGACCGGCGCGTCATCAGTATTAGCAGAAAATACGCTTTTCGTGACGAAATTACACGCTTGGTTCTCCCGAACCTTCTGGATAACGCCTTACCAGCGGGGCTTTTTTGGTATCGCTGAACCGAAAGGAAATATTTCACATGTAAGTACTATGGATTAAAAAACGTTATTTAATTTTTTTTTTATTCAAGCTTAAGTATATTCATAAGAAAAATATTGGGAATATATATTCTGATCTATGGCATACCAGTTTACACCGAATGGGTATCTGCCTTGCCTTCTGCAAAACCAAGAGAAGTAAATTAGTTATAGGAGCAAATGAGTTAGTTTTCATTAAGGTAGCTAACTCAAAAAAAGGTTTATATATAAGAAACGGTTTTAGATGACGTTAGAAAGTGATTCTGGACATCTAGCTGCATGTATCACTGACTATTAGCCTACCCGTTTTGTCTTCTAGAAATTTTCAAATTAAATACATAATTTAGCCGCTTTGGGTCAACCTAGTCTGTGACCTAGGGCCAGGGTGTGCTTTGTTATACAGTTACACCGTACCTTTAAACTGCTTGCGTGTCTTTCAGCATTTAATCGTGCGACGCAAAAATGAATGAACTCATTTTTAATTGAAGTGCAGCTTGTTTCGCGTATCCGTTCCATAATACTGTTTTCACAAGATTGAACTTCGCAGAAATTAGTAGAAAATGTGTTTTCGTTGCTAATTTTCCGGTATTTTTTTCTGGGGTTAATAGATTGTTCGCGAGTACTGGCGCTCGCCTACTGCCGCGATCGCGATTTCTGGGTTGCACGTAAACCCGATCGAAAGAGCGATGTGCAGTGTGGAAAATGGGGGTTGTTCAAACACCTGCGTTAACTCAATTGCCAAAGGCCGCGCTTGTATTTGCCCCGACGGTATGATGCTTGAAGGTACGTTTTGCTTATCAACCGAATAACTAACACAGCTATATTTTATGTCATATTACACACTCATCTTGTGATCTTATCGGCCCTGACGACGAGTTCGTAACTGCGACGACTAACATTGCATGAAGTCCGAAGTTGAAAAGGTACCTTAGCGCTCTGTACGGCATCTAGCAGCTGTATGGAAGTTCGATAGATGATTGTTACTTTAATACCACTAGAAATATGCGATTTTTGAAAAAAAACTCAGATGCTTACAAATGCGCTTTTGCATTATAAAAGATAATTTCTTAGGGCAAAGATTCACGTTTAACTAGATCAGATTGATTTACCATAAAACATTTGTATTCGCTCAGAACAAAGACTTGACCGGCAACTAAGATATACGCAGTTCAAGATTTATGCACTTAGAACAACTTTCTATTAAGTTCGTTAAGTGTGGCTGCAGTAGCTTGTCGTTAGTTCTCTCTATACTAGCACCGTTGATGAACTAAATTTTCTTGCTAATACGGAGAACCTATCAATCAATTATTTCAGACGGCACTCTGTGCGTGACACACAACAAAACCCTCGAATGTACGCACGATGAGTTTGCGTGTACGAATGATTTTCAATGTATTCGATGGCAGTACAAATGTAACGGTGTCAACGACTGTGACGACGGTTCGGACGAAAAGCCAAGTATATGCGATGAAGTAGGCAAATGTTCACCAGACACGCACAGATGTGCAAAATCACTTGAATGTATACCCGTCCGGCTGTTCTGTGACGGCGTAGCTCATTGCCAAGACGAATCCGATGAAGTTAATTGTACTACTGTGTTACTGGGGACAAATGAGTTCCGACTCTCAGGAGTCTTCACAGTCAAATGGAACTCTGAGAGACTGATAGCCGTCGGGATATTGGCGGCAGCTGTCGCCTTCGCTATGATCATTAGCTACGCCAAATGCCAGCAACGAAAATACCGTTCGGTTGATACTCGTCACATTGAGCTAAAACAACTACCTGTGACGCTGTCTAAAATGCAGCCTATTCATGGTTAGCGGAAATCTACACTACCGATTCCATTTGGCACTAATCATAAGTTGGGAAGAATTTCCTGTATGTAACTTTAATTGGATAAGCACTTGTGAGTGGAAGACGATTATATGATTGTGTCCTTTGAGACATCCTGAAGCTTAATTCGTTCCAGGTTGCTTTTGTTTCTTGTAGACAAGTTAAATTGGGGGCGGTCTGAACAAATGTGCATCCTCTAATGCGCGACACATAGCTTACAAGATAATCCGGTAGAAAAAAAAGACATTACGCATTTAAATGGTAGACAGCAGAAAATAAACGGCACGAAGTAGTGCTGAACGACACAACGAGAACGCGCCGGTAACTATATTCAAACGTCTGATTTCTGCAACACCGCGTGTATTTTTGGGTAACTTATCGTTTTCAATGTCGTGACTCGAATCTACGATGTTTATTACTGTCAAATAAATATATACATTAAAATGTGTATGTGTGTGTGTTTCTTTGTTTGTTTCTGAGTTGTTAAACAGAGGTCAGCTAACGAGAAGATAACGCTTCGACGGGAAGAGGACGCGTTAAGTCCTTTTAGAAATTAGTAACATAATAGTACTAAGATGTATTAGTTGTTGAGTAGTGGTCCACAAATGAGCACACAGACTTCTTCTCCAAGTTTTTCCCTACCTTTGGTGGGGATGAGGTATACTTTAATCATGGTAAATCCTCTCCGCATAGATTGACTTCGCTATGGAATTACTTACTGCATGATGAGTTCTAGTGTAAAAACTAATTACAAAAACATACCTAGTGAATCGAAAGGTGTCTCGTGACTCAGCTTAATCATTTTATTGACGGACATTACACTAACCGGTGCCGATTATCAAGTCAGGCACTCTTTGTTAGCACGACTAGGATGACATTGAGTTGCAGTGACCTTTATTCAGGCGCACCTTATCGTTTGACCTTATCAAAATTAAGGCATTAAATGTACGCGAATAGAACGATCAAAATGCCAGCCGGGCGTAAATGTTTGCTTGGTGTTGAACAAGGAGTCTTTAGAACGGATCTTCAATTCATAACTGTAACTTTATTATTACGTTCAAAATCCGAGACTAATGAGAGTTGTGAAGTTATACTGACATATCTAAATTGGCTAAAGTATTTGAAATAAAACTGATACATCTGTGTTGATGGTGTCTTTGTAGTTCAAGATTTATTTCTGCCGCACTTTGTACATACATGAAACACGAAGGCATATAGAAATTTAAAGTGTAGTTCGCAGATTTTATCGTCCCGTATCATAGAAAAATGCACAAATCGTCTTGAAGTCTGCGCTTTCGAGTAGTGCCAACAGCTCGCTAACTTTCCCTCTTGCGTTTACGCCGCGAAATCTGTATGCATCGAGGAAAAGGTCGGTCGTCATACCTGTAGCCCAAAGCAGGAACGAGCAGGCATAGCTGCAGGTTTATATTGTGCAACCATCTAATTCCGAAGAAATCCACAATACGTCATATTTGGGCCGAAAAATAAAAATTATTTCAATGTGGTAAAAGCCTAAAATGAAAACCTCATATAACCTCGTGTACTAGCCATCCGCATCGTAACTCTGCTGTGACTTTTTAATCGTATTTGGACTCATATAAAATGGAAATGTCACAAGTTATATGAAAGAAAGCTCTAATGATGTTGTGGCTGTCATCAGTTAGTTGACAATCAAGTAATACCAACAACAACAGGTACCTCCTTTGTCCTGTGCTTGGAATATTGATATCTGTTAGTGGTTGCCTACCATAAAGTCTTTCGAGTCGATTTGGCTGGCGACGATGTTCTGTTTGAAGCTGTGCTGCTTGCTCAAGGATTTCTCCGTACTGAGGCGGCATAAAGGAGATATCGCCTTCGTGCACCTAGGCAGACGACAATTGCAAGGCAGGTTAAGGTCAGACTGATTATTTTCGCCGTATTAGATTCTCTTGTTGGTCATAGGTCTTAGGCTGCGGCTATTATTGCAAAGGTCCGATAGTGGAGTGGCTGGCTGTACGGCGAGCTAGCCATGATTTCAACTCTGGTTCACCATCTCTATTTTATACAAGCAGAAAAGTGAAATTTGGAAAACAGAAAATATTTCATCTATTTCTGGAGTCTTTACCATCACGTGGAAGGTTATATTTGTATAGCCCCATAACTTACAGATAATTCTGCGATACATCTACAAACCTTTAGCTCATTAAGTGCATCTAAAAGTTGAATCTTGCGTGAAAGCAGTAATTGCCTTTCAAGTTTTGGGTAGATCATTTTTAACATATGCTTAATGCTATCTTCGTTCACATCTGCAACACAAATTTGCCGAAATAAGCATTTTCAAAAACAAGCACATGATTACATAATATACTAGTATTCATTCTCCGAAAATACAAAGCTTTTATATAAAGATACTAAAAAAAACCTCGGTACAAACCGCATGAAATGTCAAGCAGAATCTTCTTCTTGGTACCTTCGTTGGTGAGGGCGTCTTTTAGTATCGAGATTGTCGACAGGTTGTCTGACCGGAACACAGCTAAACTTCTACGATATTGCGCGTAGAGGACTGTGTCAAGGAATGTTGATACAAAATTTAAGGACACATCCTCGTCTGAGACAATCTTCGTGGGGACTTCCGGAAGGGCTGCTGCTACCCATGAATGCATTTCCGCTAGTGAAAAATTGCCTCTAATAAACATCATAGTAAGCAAAAGTATCAACATCCATTTTATATCTGTGTACACTTCGAACCGTACTCAACTTGACCATTGGCACGGTAGACAAGTAAGTATAATGGACGGTTTTATGTCGGCAGACGATTAACTGTGAATCATGAATCACGAGTTCGATGCGTGTATCAAATCAAAGATCACGGAGCTAATTCCTATAGCCCGCAATTGCACCTCGTATGTAATGCAATAGCTGACCACGGACATTTTGGCACCGATAGCGATTCGTATAGATTACATTTTGACGGATCGTGTCGCATCATCGGTTGCTTTGCAAGAAAACAAAAGAAATAAACAATCATTTAGGAAAATAAAAATTACTAATAGCGTATACCTAAGAGTTAACGAATTAAGAGGTCGTTCGAGGTCCTGTCGATTCGTGCGTCGGTGCAGCGACAACGGCTTAACGTGGTACCTTTAAAATCGTACATCAGAAGTGTTTATATAGTGTTAACATCATTGAGTTATTTATTGATAAAGCTCAATGTAGGTTGCCACCGTGTTTGACAACTGTTTTCGACGTATCGGGAACAAAACGCACGTTTAAAGGTGAGCGGCAACTGGCCAACAGTACGGGTTAAGATAGGATATTTTGTAGCTCGCAAAAGTTATAACGCGAATGCTATCCTCTAACATACTTTAGCAGTTGGGCGCCCTTTGGTTGCATCCTGGGTATCGCGTATACTCGGAGAGTCCCGGGTTGGCCCTCAATCGATCGAACCTGCAACAATCGTTAACCAGTCTCGTTCATTTTTATTTTCATGGTTAAACTAAAGACATGAACATGGTAACCGAACTGAAGACGTAAACATGGTAAACGTAAAGAAAAGCCTCTTCTGTTCGTACGTACCTTAAGCTCAATCCGCGTCGTTTCAGCTTGGCATCGTAAGGTTGCCAGCAAATAGTTGCCACTCTAAAACAGGTGCAAAGTAACCGAAAACAGGAAAACGTAGTAATGCCTAAAATATGATGAACTTTAAGAATTACATTTCATAAACAGTGTAACTAACACTTCAGAGCATTCTTCGATTGAAGAAATATCAGCTGGTCCTTTACGTGCTATTCTTTTTCAGAAACCTAGCCAACAACAATTTCTAAATAAATAAGTAAATAAAAATACGTCAGAATCTCTTATGGAGTAGAAATGAGATGCATTGGGGTTAGTTAGATTCGGAGTGCTGCTTGCAAATACTACTTCATAATGCTCTATATATAAAACTCATAAACGGAAGACCTGACAAATCAAAGACGTGGACTTGATATCTTTCTGAAGTGTTGTAGATTGGCTGCCTTTGATTAGCGTCTGATGTGTTCAGTACTTACTGCAGGGGTGCAGGGACTGAAACTAACAACAGATGTATTCTTATCAGAATCGAGAATGTCCATGGGAGCGTCACACTGCAGCAATAAGAACTCGAGCGGAACCTGTAGCTCAATAGACAATATATACGAAGCGTCAGCATGGTTTAGAACGAATGAATCGTTCACTGATAGGGCTGGAACAGCCGAAACAGACCGCTCAGGCTGAGGCTGTTGTCCTAGTGCACGGTAGGATTCTTTGGCCCGAACGACCTTTCGCTGCAAATCTTCAACCTCCTCCCTAATGAAAATTAGAAAAGAGAAAGTCAATACATTTGGTTACGAAGGAGAGACAAACGTTTTTCGCTGCGTATAACTTATATAACTTTGCAAATATGTGCAGGTTCAATGTTAGGTGTTAGATACGTAAAGGATGACAGTAAGGTTACCTCGAACCTGCTCAAGTTAATCGCCTCAAAGTAACGCCACTAACAACTTCGACGACCGTTTAGCAAATACGACTACTTATAGGATATACCAGCCAAATCGGGAATACCTACCATAAGTTTTTACAGGCTTATATTTCACTGAAGGATGATACTTCTGAATGTTCTTTTATGGAAAAACATATTTGAAAAACGATCCTTTTAAAGCAACGAATAACCCATTCTACAGTGTCTTCAGTTATTATTCGACAGCGTAGTAAAATTTTATTTAAGAATTCATACCCAACGAAGCTCTTCATGCAAGGTTGTTTCAGAGTTTTTGCTTCGGAAAAGATTTCAATGACCCCAAAACCCAGTTGAAAACAAAATGTCTATTTGAAGTTTGCCTGCCTGCCTCGGAATCAACTCGCGACTTTTATCCCGTGACACTTTCTTCCTAAGGTATCATTAGAAGAATACAGTAGGTGAAATGTTTTGGGTTTTCAAATATAAGTAAATAGCTAGGGTCTTTGTGATTAACGCGATATGCATTTCTCCAAGAAGATAGCCTTTTTTTCATCTTAAAACGTCCATGTTAATGTATGAGAATTCTTTTCCCTCTTTTCAAAAACGGCACAGGCCATCGTTTTTGAGTCACCAAGGAGGCTGATCATTTTTGTGCCTAGCCTTCCACATCCTGTACGCTAGAATGGCACCTAAAACGCAAACGTCTCAGCTATGATGATGTCATAGTTGTGCTGTCCGTACAACGTGATTTCTTCAAAGCTATTCACTTCTCAGCTTCATGAATCCTCGACACTGAAAATTTTCGGCATTCATCTGACACATTCCGTATAAATATAAGCCAATAGAAGCATGTGAGTGGGTGCTATAGATACAATTTAAGCGAGCTAACCTTAAAGAAACAATTTTTTGCGCCGATTCCTGTGATATGAGGATGTAATTCGGGTCAATACGTTTGTCTTTGTTTTCGGTTGTAAGTCCAAATAGCCAACCTATTCAAGATTGACAACCAACACATAATGATTTGTTAGTGTATGAGACCTTACCATCGGAACGTTTAAAATGCATATCAAAGAAGCTTACAGCACTCTACGACCTTATCAAAGCTATCAGATAATACTAATTCTTGTATTGCAAGTTCTTCAACAACAAGCCCCTAATTAGCGCAAAAACAAAATAACCATTACCAACTTCTGCATCTGTTCCAAATTCACCATTTTGTAACTATTACAAGAACGATTTACCATTGTAGGTAGTTACAAGGATTTCTTCGTAGCCAGGTGTTCCGATTATTCCTCCAATCACAGATGTGATTCCTTCGTTACATTGCTGCAGAAAGATCAACAAAAAGTGTTCCTATGCTTCTAATCAATATGTATGCTTGTTGAACGAAAAACACTTCTTTAGAAGTACTTTGGCTTCATTAAATTGGTTTATGCTACTATTCTGCCATCATCAGTCTTCCAATTATTGACAATTAAGTTTGTGCACTCCAGTGGTTAAATTTGGGCTTACGTATGAATATCTCCGAACAGGCTTATCCTCATCGTTGAAGTAGTACACTTCCACATTTCCGTCGCTTCGCCCAGTAATCAAATTCCTCGTACCATCAGCATTGAGGTCAAATACGTCCAAACACGTTACACCTGCGTGCAAGCGTAATGGAAATGCACACACGTGTAAATCATAATGTACGCGAGTCATGTAGCTAGTAGGCAGGTTAACCACGGCATTATACTCATTTCCACATTCGCATCGCGTTAGATCATTTTTCGGGCTTATTCCTCTTGTCTTGAAGTCTACCTCCGAGCTTTGTATCGTCGACAATTTCCCACTCGGTTTGCGGTTCAGAGAGGCTGTCTATGTTGATGGCTCCAATTTTCCCATCTGAAGTACCATAAAAAAGCTCAGTTGACGGATTCCGATCGGCGTTGTCTGAAAACGTTTTACAATATCAGGAAAAAACATAATAGCACCACCCTACCTAGGTCTATTATCAAACAATGATTTCCTTCGACATTTTCTTTTGGATACATCAAAGATGGGGAATATTGGTCAGTAGCACATGGAATTGATCTCGTTTACAGCTGGGACAATACACTCCACTCAAAGCAATGTATTACAGAATCCGATTTTTGTGATCAATAGCTCTTATTATTATTATTATATGTAATTAATTTTATTATTGCTATTGAAGCAGCGACTGACCATTTTTGGTGACGCAGTGTATAATAACGACCGGTGGACCAAGACATTCTACCTCAGCGATGCAATCTGCTTCCTAAAAAACATAAATTGCGTTATGACCTATTAACTATTTACAAACCGAATAATATACTACAAAATAATTTAGGACTGTCCTCTGCGCTACGTGGAGTTAATGTTAGGCCGACCGTTCTTGCCGACGGGGCTTTGTGGCTAACTAGTTACTTGTAGGAAAACTAAACAAAATGCTCCCAACTGTATATTCAGTACTGCCGTCAAGTATAAGTTAAAACAGGTGAATTCTTTAAAATTGTACGCGCTATCGATATGATTGAAATGTTCTAAATGGAGAGGCGAAATTTGCCACCCCTATATAGAGTCCACATCGATGGTTGAAATAAATGGTTTCCTTAGCTAACTTACTAAAATATTTTCTATGTCTTTGTTTTCTTGGATGGACAGTTGATAAAAATGCTATCTAATTGAAACGGCTGCGATTTGTTACAGATATTTGTAGCATCTTGCTCTAAGAGGCAGAAATTTTGTCTCGAAACTTTTGTGGATAACCCTCTATTTATGTTGAATCTAGAAAAAAAAAACTTTGAATCGGCAATAATTTGAATATATTTGTAACAGAACATCTGAGGGACGGCCCAGAAGTTCGAGCAAAACATGCCTATCCTCTCGCAGGAGAATGGAACTTCTAGAAACGATACTCTTACTTTAATAATCCGAATGAGTCGATCCTGGCAAGCGAGAACCGATAGCAGCATGTCTTGATTCTTGCGAATCACGGTAATGTCGTTAATCGCGTCCGAGCTAATAAACGAGTGACTTTCCTTTAATGGGTCAGATACAAGAACCGTCAGTAACAGTCGTCATACTTATACAATTAGACGTGAGCACGTAATATTCCAACAAACAATGCATACAGCAGATGCGTATCGCCGATCGCAGCACAAAATACGCCCACGGACTTTCGAGATTACCATTGATGTTAGCAAATACGAATCAGTTTCTTTACTTATTTGTAAAATGCCAAATCTCCGCAAGGGATGAATGGGTCATTACCACACGGTTTTAAAATGGGAAAACTTTGAAATGTATTAAGAGAATTTTCGAGATAAAACAGTGCGAAAAAACATAGGTTTCACACTTTTGTAAGAGCTATTTCTAGTTCGGTCAGCGCTATAATAGTACCTTGCAGTCGAAGTAATGTGTGTACACGAACTCACTGCAAATCATCAGGTCGTTCCCGTTCACTGCAATCGCCTTTATCTATAACAAGCGAGCGAAGGCCGCTTAGAGAAGCTGAGTATATTCATAAGTTTTATGACCAGTCAAATGTCATGCTTTATTGTGCCAGGTCAATTAATTTATGCACCGTAGTTTCAGTAAAACAATAAAATCATATAATCCTTCACTTTCCATATGCATTGGTTTTTTTTTCTTGTTTCTAATGTGCATATATATTCCGTCTTAGCTTGAGTACTTACTTCCTCTGTTAAATTCGTCTCGAATTTAAGAAACTGTTTGCCTTTTTTAGTGAAGCCCTGAATTTCAGATCCGATAGCCACAAAGATCTTATCTTGTACGGAACCAGCGGGACCCCCCAAGTCGATATGGGTGATCCTACTGGATGAGGGCAGCGTCTTGAATACCGTCTGCACGTCGACCTACATACCGAAAGATTTTATTAGAACTTTGCAACCTTAATGAATTTAGCAGAATGCACAAAGAGATATACTAATAACACAGTGGTGGACAGCCCATAACGGCACAGGAGAATGTTTTATTTATTCATTGTTCTTATTATTTTTTACTTTCATTCATTATGAGTATACGATACGTGTCTACGCAGCTGAATAACATTAAAGGACAATCGCGACGATACGAACTTTCTTGACGGAGAAGCAATGAACGACCCCCTTGAGGTTTCCCACAACCACTTTCTGGGTTCCTCTCTCTTCTGAAGGCGGCAGCAGACGTGTGCACTTTGGCAACGTGACATCGACCTATATAGCAAGCAGAGGAGTCTGATCTGAACCGTCCTAGATACAGTTCCTTGATTATTTAATGTTATATAGTTATTTACTGCAGTGCAATTGTCTGTATAACGTGCAGATACAATAGTGCTCCCTGATCAGCACGACCGAGAAGACTGTCACAACACTATGGCTTAGACTATAGATTAAATTCTCTCTAGGCAAATATTAATACTTCAGCCGCATTATCCAAGAATAATCGTAATGAAGCAAGAACCACAACTTCCAATAAACAAATATTGTCGAACAGGGAGCACTAAGGGATACAGACAGTATATTTATCAGACATTCAAACAGACAAAAATTCAGACTGACCTTCCTATTTGAGTTCTGGCTAATTTTCGAAAAAAATGTTGAGCAAAATTTAATAGCACAATTACTAAACATGCGTTTAGTAATTGTGCTAAACAATTTAATTCATAGTAACTTCATATTCATAGTAAAAAATATTAAAGACATTCAAGCAAAAATGCATACGTTTAGTTGCGTAATAGCGTTCAATATAGTATAGGTCTTAGGGTAAGCTCTTATCGAAGAGCACGTAAATGTATAAATCGGCAGTATAGATAACCTTTGCTTTTAAAGTACCCAAAAAACAATTAAAATTTGTTCTTTGTATATCTACCTGAGCATAATCCACTCTGTTTAAACTTAGTTCCATTGTTGTTGTCGTGTAGCGTACACAAAACGAACGGTTGAATTCAGTTCCTGAAAATCTCGCGAGAGTCGCTGTTTTTATAGGGTGGATAGCTCGGCGCGAATCGACATCACCTTGGCAACAGCCCTATGCCCCTGCCGTAGCTGGCGCTAAGATCGAAAAGCCGGGATGAGTTAAGCTAGTTGAATGAAGGTCAGTTAAACTCGGTAAAACAATGTTTTCCCGAAGGTCAACAATAGATTTTTCAGATAGATAAATAAAGAAAAAGAAAATGTGGCCAATTGGTTTGTTTGCTATGCACATCACTCTATATGTAGCCGAAACATATCAATTTATCGTTGTTCTAAACGGATCTGTTCCTAGTTTTTTTTTTAAATACCTACTAATTGTGTAACAACTATCTCAAAACAAAGAATTCACAGGAACTGAAAATCATCTCCGTTTCAATTCCCTATGTCCTGTAGCAGATCGATACGTTAATTGCTTACTGATCCACGCCGGCTTGAATGTACAACTTACCATGTATTATCCTAAAAACATCTAAATATGAGCCCTTAATAATTTGTCCAGTACGTGGCTAAAAGCTATAACTGGTACTTAGTTAAAAGGCTGGCATACTTGACGTAAAGTTAGATAATTTCGACTGATTATAAATAGAGAGGTCGGTCAAAGTCTGACGAACTTTCTATAAATTGATTTCTTGAGCGTTCTAATTCGATAAATTATCCTACATTAGTGTATCGTGTTTGCCAACAAACGTTTCACACATTTACGTGGATGATTAAAACAAGTGAGCAATCTGTGAATCTACTGTCTCCTGTTTATTATGATATTGCATGCGCAGCGTCAACACCGTCGAAAATCTCAGAAATCTCACAATAATAATTGCATTAAAAGGGTGATACCATAACGTTTTTATGTGTATACACTCCCACCTTATTCCCCACAAAGTTAGTAAACGTTATTGCCAATCTAACGCTATCATCCTACGAGGCGCCACCGGCTCAAAACACCGTACTCCAATGATTTTTCCATGAGAAGCTGCCGCCGCCCCCCTTCCCCGACGATTGCCTCCTGCTAAGTTTTTGTTGTTTCTGCTGTTGCTGAGGCGGCGACTGGTCCTGCTGATGCAGATCTGCCCTTTCGCATCCTATCCCTCGCCACATGCTGGGAAGATCCAGCCCGATCAGCCTTCTCTGCGCGACTCTAGCGGTTTGCAGCAGCGTTGGGCAAACGAGTCCGGTATCTCCCTTTCCCGCGCTCTGTTTGGGTTCATTAGCTTGATGGAGAGGCTCTGGCCGGAGTTCAGTAAACCCGTATCTTCTTGAGTTTGCCGGTTTTAGTAAAATATCACTGCTTAACAGCTATTTCTGCCCCTCAAATCTGAACAACGCAGGGGCATCGCCCGTCATTCTCGCTTGTTTTGTTTTAGTTGATTCCCCGATCTAATTGGAAGTGAGCAAGATTTTATTCCCGTCTTGAGCAGCAGAGTGACATCGAACGAAAATGGTCTGTATATGTCGCCGGGTGCTTAACAGAATAAGCAAGACGAAAAAAGGTATCCGACAACATGTTAAATAACATCAAAAACTGCGAGAACAAATATAGACGATGGCTGAGAACAGAAACAGAACGTATAGAATACGTAAGATTAAGGTGACATCTAGTTACACCAGTGTTTATTAAACCTTTATGGAATTACAAAGTAAATATGAGGGTTGAAAAAATGTAGGGAGACACCGCTGTTACTTACTGTTGTCTGCAGAGGTCGCACGCGTTATGCTCATGGATATCCTGTGAGACCCATATATTTGTAGCAAATAAATGTCCATCAATGATGTTTCATCCAGACTGGTTGGTAACGGACAGGGGATGGGAAATTTTGTTTGTCTATAAAACCTCTTATAATTAATCTAATCATGTGGAAACGTTGTTACAAGATATATATGTCAATATTGCATACGAGTCATTTTTTATGTATCAAAATTATTCCAAAAACGTTCCTATATGTAAAAATATTCCGGCCATTTTTTTTTCGAGCACATCTACTGCGAGAGAAAGATTCTATACTGAAAAAGGCAGGCAACTTTGGAATAACCTATTACAGGTCGGTATGATCATTGTGACGACTAATCGTGATCAGGCGGTACTAAACAAATACTCAAACGTTAATTATTGGTCTTTCCGGTTTAATTTATGTGTATTCTGCATAAAATTAGAAGGGTATGTTCGACGAACTCCGTAAAGTTGTTATAATGTATCAGTGGTAAAAAGTAAACAATAGTGATTGCAGCACCTGTCAAGCAGGCCCTTACAGAGGCCATGCATGCCGCCAAACATAGTGCGTTAGGCCAAGTCCATCGTGGTGTTTCGCCGCTTATTTCTCTTTGTTGTCTAGCGATAATTTTACTTCAGAAACCACAGTATAATTCATATGCCTCTGCCAGGTTAACTATAGAGAGAACTTCCCATCACATGACTTCTACGAGATTTTTTTTATAAAAAATAAAGGCCGTTATGGGGCATTTTCTGAACCGAAAGAAATCAAGTTCTGCCCGTATAGGTTGACCGTTACGCAGATCGTAGCCAAAAAAAACAACTAATATGCCAAACAAATTATATTAGAACAAAAGTACGTCTATAGGTAATCTCGCTATCTCCGTGTTCATTTTAATTGCACTGATGAAATTGTTTACGTCGGATCTCGCGGCACGGTAGCACGATTTCGGCCAGAAAGAAACTTAAACGGAGCAAACGCGCGAGTTCGATTTAAGCTGTTAGAGCAGTCTTTATTTAACTTATAATACTTAAATAATCTCCAGTCTTTTTACTCATAACTTACATAGCATGTACGACCATATAGGACTTATTCTAATCTCTTTTCCAGTCTCCTCGATGGCTTAAACTTATCATGCTCGCCGCCATTGTTGCTGTGCTACTCGAGGAGGTAGCAGGGACCAAGGTTTTACCAACGATCGGCTCCTGTTGGTCGCCCCAGGTTGAACTCCTTTCTGCCTACTCGACGACAGACAGCGCTATTTTATCTGCCCACGCCACAAGCGTACATTTAAGCCTCATTTGCGGCTCAACTTCAGACACAGGCGAATCCCAGCAAGCAACATATTACAATGGACCCATCTTCTTCAGACTCAACGATGAACCAGACTTGAGGCCGCTTGCTGTCATCGAACCCGGAAAGTAAGTTCACTAATTCACAGGCCAAAATAAATAAAGCTGTTTGGAATGTCTCGTCAAAACGTTGAATTCGATTTTTTACCTGCCTGGTAGTATAAAAGTGTTGCATATTTTGCGACTACTGACACTTTATATTATGCCTGCAATGGACGCCTATTTGACACCTAGGTGGAAGGTAATTAAACAAGCCACAATCGGACTTAATATCGGCACAAGGGCCACACGGATATTCACACTTTGGCATACATACCTGTTACTTACAGATTGCAAGCAAGCTGGAAAACCGTAACCATTATTGCCCCTGCAGAGCAGTTTACACTGCGGCTCTATGGAGAGCAGGCCGCTGCTCAGTTCCGTAAAGGGGCTTCCGCAACCGAACTCGGTCGGTTGACAATTTCGCGACCGGCAGCAAATCGCGACGCGTGGCTTTCCGGTGAAGCTGTCGCTCTGGTGTCCGCATTCCTTTTAGCTGTTTCAGCATTCGCGTCGAGGGCGGGTATCTCTTCATAACTCGGTAGCCGCGTGCATTGCGACGGCCAAACGACTGGGGAGGAGATACTTCCACCCCAGCCCACAATCACGGGCTTCGTACGAAGTCTCCTCAAACGTGCACTCGTCAAATAGGTAGTCTTTTTGTACGACAATGATTGTCAGGAAATGAATCAGCGAAGGAGCAAATTAATCTAGTCACTAGAACTGATGTCATCCTGTGTATATTCGACATGTTGTTGCATAATTTCAGAGATGAATAGCAACCGATTTATGCTTCTGCTCAGTACAGAATTAGAAAGTTTTGTTTAAATCGGTTAACTAAATTGACGACGGCAGACAAAAAATTCAGAAGAAGAATGGTCTAATGAAAGGCTATCTAAAAAATCTATGGGTAAAAACTCCATGATTCTAATTTCCATCCGGGATGAGTACTGCTATAAAACTCAGTATACCACATGCGGGCAGTGCACAGTAGGTTTCGATTTTATACTTGGACTCAGGTCACTGAATGGCCACAATCAGTGGCTTTCTATGATGACACTTGACTTTGGGTTCAACACGCATCCTAAAAAGGATACGATGTTTTGGAATATCTCCGCTATACTTATACTTTTTAATGGCTTCTAAGTGGTAAGAAAGCATCCATGTTGCTCCATAAACGAAATATGCATTCTATCGTGCATGATAAACTTGATATCAGTTATTTCTCAACATCAATTAGGAAGATCTAAAGAAACAAGCTATTTAAATTAGACGAAGCCGATACCCAACTTTTTTTTGAAGCAGTTACACTTTATTATACCTGGTGGGGTGTCTAAAGCAGGCGCTTAAATATGGCATCCTGCTATGGCCATTATGCAGTCTGTGTAGTTCGAACGCACACGTCAAGCTCCTCCTCTTACGTCGATAAACAATACTCAGCAAAACGATACAGGGCACTGAAAGTGACCACTTTTGGGTGTTTACTATACAATATCTCTATTGTATTGTACCGCACCAAAATAAATGAAAGGTGTTTGTTTACCGAAGAAACGTTATCGTTACTCATTCATGATAGCGAAAGGAGTCTTTCTCCACGTAACTGTAATCTAGACAACAAGTTGCTTATGTTTTATATTTAAAAATAAAAGTTTATTTCTGGATATTATCAGAAACTATTGAACACTATGTTGCTTAGCTCCAATACACTTGTAAAGTAATACCGGTTTATAATCTGTACAGTCGCACAACTTCATTAGAATCTTTCTTAAAACCGTATGCGAGCCTCCCAAAAAACTTCAGAAAGGAGTCCTATTCGAAATTAGGCTAGACAACGATCACACAGACGAAACTCAGATTATTCTTCTTAAAATACCACTGAGTATCGTGGAGTAAGAATCTTGTGTTCATTTAGGAACTGAACCAATGTGAGACCAGGAGACTTCAGCAGCTTGTGAATCACCAAAGCTTATAAGAGCTGCGCTAGAATAGAGAAAACCTAATTTTTCGCGTTTCAGGTTGACTTGCCTCGTTTGTATCCATATCACAACAATAATTCTTGACCAGCCGCGTCATCTACCTAAGTAGTACATACACTGTGCTAAACATTTACAAAAGTACAAGAGTATGGAAAAGATAGGCTTGTGGGTTTCGATTATATTAGGATGACGTAGAAAAACTATATTTTCATGTATGTACGTAACATCACGAGGTATCCCATATCACTAACTTGAATACAGCCAGCTATAGCCTCCCTTAAACGAAAGTGTGCTCCTGGCATATAGCTCAAATATTAATAATAGTAAACGCCAATTTCAAAAGAAACACAATATATGGTGGGGCTGCCCTTGCAGAGGTTCCCAGGTTGAGTTCGTCTAGTTGAATGCAGAGAAACTATGGCAAATTAATTGTAGCGCAAGACAGCTACTGGACTGAATCTACTCTATGAACATGTCTGATTGCGAGGTTGCGCACTTACTTTATTTTGGAAACCTACAAAATATCATAAACCTAATATGTACAATGAGAATCGAGTAATTTCAATTGTTCAAGTGCCAAAGGCTCGACTTCAGACGAGTCGTACTCAACAGAGGTATGGCAGTAGCGGAAGAAACTCGCAAATAACTTTGAGTATATCTTAAATATTTTCGTAACTTAAAGTGGAAAATAAAAATAACCGCAACAATAGCTCTACTGTATGCGAGAGAACATCAACGATCGTCGAGAAGAAAAATGGCACAAGTGTTACAGCAGTTCTCAGGTGTTCTCAGTTGTAAATTTGTATAGGTACATAGATATGAAATAAATATAGCGAGCTGCTATCGATTGCGTGTGCTGGCTAGAAAGTATATATGTATATACTTGTTTTATATACATGCTGATCGCTAGTTTTTAGCGATGCGTGGCATTGGTACCTTTAGTGATTTGCCATCGGATGACAATGCAATACATCAAAAAGCTATAATCACAACCCTTAACCACTATACGCTTTGCACTCGCGTTAAGTCAAAGTTACCATTCATGTTAACAATATGCCCGCTTCCGGTCCCATAGAGTTGGGTGAGAATTTTCAACGCGTACTCTTTCTCCGACCGTGGAACCTCTTCGTGGGACACGCTTTTCATCGACAATGAATCCGAATCGCTTTCTGATTCGACCAGACCCTCAAGAGTTTGCTCAAGAGGCTGACCATGAGTACTTTCCAAATCAACCGTCGAAATCGACGGGGTGAACGTCGAGTTTGCGTCGTTGACGTACGCTGCAGCTTCCCGTTGCCGTCGGACCCTTTCGTCGGCAATACGATCACTTGCCAATCGTTTACCATAATACGCAACACATGCAAGAAAGACCAGACATGCCACCCCGAGGGTACCCGCTAAGATTAACACTAAAACGGCCTGCTGTTTGTACACAGCAAACCGGAGTATGTCGTGACCCATCGGCTCGAGTGAATTGTCGTTCGGCTCGCGATGGTTAACATCTTTGCCGCTGTCCTGGTCGCCATCAATCACAACGACGTCGAGAGTGCGTGCCACAAACGTTGCAGAGAAATTTCGAATACCGCGTTCGTCTATTGCGGCTATTTTCAGCTCGTAATATTTTGAAGGTTCGAGATCAATTATGGTGAATGTCCACGGCAAAACTTCCGGCAAACGCTTTAGGTGCCAATCGCCTCCGATGTCCGCTCGTCTGTAGGCCAATTCAAAACCCTGTAGGTGTTGCGGCCGCGTCATGGTCCATTGAATCGTGATGCTGTTTTCTGCTTCAGGGGCAGCTGTTAAACGTGGAACCTCTTCTGAAGGATGAGAAGCTTCCGGACCGGCCTTGTTGTCGCTTGCTGTTGATTCATCTGTGTACGTCGTGTTAACCATTAAGGTTATCCATTCGCTCGATTTCCCCGTTTTGTGATCCTGATTCTCAAAGACGGTTAGCAGCCGAAATCGGTACTTGCGTGGCACGAGACCATCAACGAGGAACGATTTGGCGTTTGGGTCGATTTCATCGTCGGGCGTTTTCCACAACTCTCCGACGCCTTTGGCAATATACTGCACTTTGAGAAATTGTATTGAAAAGTTGTTTGTCGGTATATCGTTCCAACGCACCTCGACAGCGCTCTCCGACGCCTGTCTAACCATCGGTCGTGGAGGTGCCGGCAAGCGAACTCTCGTCCTCGAATCAACGCGATGTTTGCGCCTAGGCATTTCCAGCGTGTCAGGGTTGACTGACGGTGGCTCCAAGGCTGGGTCCCGGCTTGATATAACTCGTACAAGAAACTGTACGTAAGTCTGTCCAAGAACGTTCGTTGCAAAACATTGATAGTGGCCGTGATGCCACGCCTTTCTTACGCGAGAAATGTAGACCTCGCGGTCATGAACAAACACATGCCGATCCTCCTGTGTATATAATCGCTCTCCGTTGAACAACCAGGTGATGTTCGGACGAGGTTCACCCTTCACCAGCTCGCAGTCGAGACTGACCGACGAATTAGTCTCAACTTCGAAGACGCTCTTCGATAAATCCGGCTCTCTGAGCACCGGAGGTTCGTGTACAATCAACGTTGTGCGCACGGCCTCGGTGACAAAATTACTTACACTACACTCATATACGCCGCCATATTTAGCAATTACTGAAATCAGTGTTAGAGTGCCTTCGTTATCGATCTGGCCAGGGAGGTATGAGCCCACACGCTGCCACTTCACTATCGGCTGCGGCCAGCCGTCACCAAGACACTCAAGCGTTACGTTACTGCCAACAACAGCTTCGACTCGATCAGGTGGCCGGTGAACGATCGTAGCGTTTACTCGCATTGCTCCTTTTTCCATGTGACGTGGCTGAACGACGAGAAAAACCCGAAATGGCGCGTCGCGCACCTCCCTTGTTAGTGGATTTTGCGCTAAGCAGCGGTACATGGAACTGTCTTCTAATCGCGCGTTGCGCACATAAACGTTGCCTGACGGCATTGCGTGAAATCGGCTACTTTTGGTAAGATTCACGGAGTTGCGCGAGTCTTTTATAACCAAGGGAACTGCGGGAGGTTCGCTAGGTGGGAGAGGACTACAAGGAATTACACCGATAGCGCCTTCCATGACTTCGACGTGCCGATCCTTGGGAGCTTCGGCCGACATTGAGAAATTGTTGATAGTAGTTGCAATCGACTCCGCGGTTTGCGATACAAGCCTCAGTGGAAACGACCCATTGACACTGATTTCACAACGGTACGACGCCCGAAGCCATTCACGCATTTCAAGCATGTGAGCATCACCGCATTTGGTCATCTGGAAATTTTCAAACACAGAGCAAAAAAGATCAAAAACGGGCCTATTAAGGCTTTCGATATGCTTCTTCGTTAGCTAGTATGATAATATTCGGGGGCCTAATCAATCCATTATTCAGGTGCACAAAAAAAAGAATAACCTATCTAAGGCTATTACCATGTCATATTGTTATTACATGTATACTACTATGGCATACGCGCGTCTAATTGGTAACTCGAAATGCCAGCCGTTTCTAGTTGCTACGAGACTGAACAAAAGTGTTAAGTACCTTGAGTACATTGCGTGATTTCGGCGTCAACTCCACTTCGTTCCGAAACCAGCGTACCTGGAATATGCGATCACGTATTATTGCCAAAAACAACGGCGTAGATGCAATCTGACTGTGCTGCAATTAAACGAGTAGGTTCACTGAAGTGTTTACTCACCTCGACGATTGACTTAAGCTCTTTATTTGGTTCACACGTGAAACGCACTTTTCCATTTTCGATAAATTCGGACTTCGGCTCCTGGGCAAATGTTAAACCAGCAGCTAATGTAGGGCTTATTTGCCACAGGAATAATAGACAGCCCCATACAGCGAAGTGGCTCAGCGCTACCACTCCAGACGAGCTTGGTGCCATCGCTTTTGCCTCTGGCAATGAACACCTAGAAATTAGGAGATAAATCGACGTCATTCGACGAGATATTTTGATTTTCTTATTAAAACTACGTGGATATAATCAAGTACACATGTTACGGTTACTGGCATGTGTTGAAGTTGTATTAAGCCAACTTTGTAAAAGCAATGCTCGTGTTCGACCTAAATAATCATTGTTGTTAACCTTATGAAAAAGCACCTTTCGTTAAGGAGTGGGTAAATGGTTGGAGTCGGATAAACGAAGTCAAAAGGCACTTATCTTCTCAAATGAAAACTGTCACACGTACACCTAAAACGCTACTGGGTAAGTTTAAAAAAGTTTATTGCTAGAAAAGTCACTACAATGTAGGATTAGGCTTGAAAAAAAATTTCTCAACCATATGAAGTAGGAAACGGTCATTCCTGAAAGTTAGAGCAAGGGTCGTTCGTTGCTGCACGTAACCCTGAACAGAAATGCAGCTCCAAACAATAGTTCGATGTGAACTTATCTATAATAGTTTAGTGATCGGCTAGAAAACATCAATGAAGAAAGAGACGCTAACTCTGCACACACGCGGACGCAGTTTCTGAGCAGAATAGAACCACCCAGGACTCGGAGCGCCAGCAGGCGGTAACCGTCTTCTTATCTGGTGCAGATGTTCGCCAAGCTTGTCATGGTTCATCACTTTGTACGCTTCTGTCCCGAAACCTAGTTACCTTTTAAGCGATGCTCCAAACGCTTTTGCGCTGGGCCTGAATATGGGACGAGTATAATGAATAGTCATAGCACAATTGTAATACATAGACGATTGTCTGCGTCTATATATATATATATATATATATAAAGCTATTCTCTTTTATCCGTTTTATTTATAGAAAGGGAGCGAAAGAAAATAACAAACATATAAACATTAAGTTAGTGCAGCATGACTAACTATTGGTGCTGTGACGTTTGTTCTTGCAAATACAGATGATATTCACACGCGTACTACTGCATACTTAGAGATGACATGTATTACAGATCTTTTCATTCTCGCGATACAATAGCCCTTTCCGTTTGGCATCACGTTCAACAATAAAGAGTTTGATCAACTCAAATGGCATACGACGAGACGTAATAGCATCTACTAATAGAGAACTAGGCGTCAGGTACTAGACATAACCATCTTTAAACCATACTCCTACTAGTTAACGGCCTCTTCGTTGATCATTAAGTGACAAAAGAATTAGTGGCTCGAACGAAGCAGCCACATGTTCAATGTGTGAGGTCCTCCTGCTCAGAGCAGACCCACCGGAAGCTTTCGCAGACAGTTAAGGCCATCTACCGATGCTAGTTACAAGGACACTAAATCGATATTCAGATCCAAGTTTTGCAAAACTATAGCGTATGCTAATACTGTACCTGGATGCCTTGTCAATGACGATAGTCCCGTGTTGGTTCTTCTAAAGCTCTCACTCGATGGCTTAGGGCCAGCTTTTTAGAACAGATTATTAATTCCAATAGAAGTCTTTAATTAGTAATTGAAGTATAATAGGGGAGGCTATGTAAGGCTCTATACTATACGGGCCACTCCGTTTTTTCTCGCAAGGATACGCAGATTTTAAATTTCAAAAACCGGAAATTTTTTTTCACATTTCATCTAAGTTCTCTAAATGATAGGCAAGCGTCTTTTCTACCACAGTTACAAAATTACATCTTCAATAGCAAGCTGAAGGAAGGTTACGCTACCACTATGTTTCGAACATATATAGAACCAGATGCTATCGATGCTGATTTGATAGAGAACTAGCCACAGAATACACACGTCAACTCAAGTTAAACCAGGGTACCTCATTTTCTGTCGTTGTACCATATGGCGTTACTCTCGACGATGTGCCGCGCGTAGTAATCTTTGAAAAAATTTTAACAGCTGTTAACATAACGCATCATTCGCGTTACACAATGTTGTCGACATATGCACCACATTGTGGATGAATGACAAAAGTTTACCATGGATATTATTTCTACGGGAATCATGCACGACCGTAATAGTTATACAGGCTCAAGTTGGCTTCAGAGATCGGTGCGCACTGTTCTTCCTCACCTTTGAAAGGGACTTCAAAATTCGGCTTGACACTGTGTAGCACAACTATATAAACCTATGATAGACAAATCATAAGCCCACATGGTACTAGATGTCTAGAGTATCATTTTTTCTAGCCGCAATCACGGCGCTTTTTGGAGGCAATGCTATCTTCTCTTTAAAATTTGTTAACTGACTCACGTCTTATATCCCTGGCCCTTTCATAAAACTCTATGGCCTCTATAATAATTTAAGCGCCTTTAAATGCTTTTCCGCAACACGAATGAATTGCAGTGGACCAATTAAGCCTACATAATCGAAGACCCTTTAACGATGATCCTATCTTTTTCGCTTCCGCAGTACAGATTATTTCCAGTGTATCATTTAAAACAAGCATAGTTTGGCCCATAGTTTCGCACCTTTTCAGGTATGCTTGTCTGAAACGCAGTAGGGCTGGACTTCCCGGCAGCATTTACATTTTAATCGACTAGACGGCAACAAAAAATACCAGGTATCCTGATTTTATCATTTAGCTAATTAAAATCAAAAGGCTGAAAAGTTAAGAATAATTCACAAAAACGGTTTTAGCAACTGAACAAGACCTCTTACACCGTGCCAGCGTAGAAGGCTAATTGTTCATTTAATGAGGCCAGCTGTGCTTTTGGCATCGCAGAACCCTGCCAAGGAAGAGGTAGTACGATGCCCTGGGTAACTACAAACAACCAAAAAGCTGGATCCCATCTGTATCGCATCGACCAACGTAGAATATAAGTCACTCAATCTCACATACATAGCTTCTATCCCAACTTTTTCGTTAAGACTGGCAATCTTTCGATCGCCAACTCGGATCGCCTACTTCGTTTCCTTTTCCCATTTCAGAGCGCACAAATAAAATAATGCTGCCGTTCGCATTAATCTTATTATAATCATTATAGATTATCCTTCCTATAAGTCGACGTCCATTAATATATCAAACACTAGTCGGGGCCAGATGCTCGGGGTAGAACAAACAGAGCACGAACAACGTATAATACACAGCCGCACACATTGCCAACATAATGTGCTTTAAGCAAGACACTCTCGACGAAGACCTTTCTACGGAGAAGATAACATTTGCAAAGCAACAGACGGTTGCTATGAGTACTAAATTCATTGTCGCTAATAAGGCGGCCACGTCCTTTTTAGGATACATGGCCTACAAAAACGGCTATTGCCGACGTAATCAACTCACAATAACCATACGTTGATTTTTCGGTTACTCAGATATAGCCAAGTAGGCTGTGAAAACGCCAACGGAGGCCAATGTCAACATTTGAAGCGCTTCTAAAATCAAGATCAGCCTACGCATTCTGGCGCTCGAAAGTTTCCTAAGTAAGTAGCCTTAAACAATCCTAGCAGATAACACATTTAAATTCTTTTCCGCTAGGACATGAAGAGGTCAAACGTATAGCGTAGCTGTATGTTTACATGTTGGATAAAATGTGGTTGTTTTCTCGAAGCTAAAGCAGAATACCTGGGAAACGCTGTGTCTGCTCTCGTTACGACTAGAGATTTAGACGTAATTTTCTAGTAACTACTATTTCCGTGAAAACGCCGCCAATACACTCACTAGCAGGCAAAAAGGTAGGGTTCATCGAACGCTTGATAGAATTTAAATTCTATTTCTTTCGATATTTCTTCGACAATTTAAACTAAAGGTGTTTGTACAACAATATGATGGAGTAATTTTTTTTATCACTCTAACCCAGGAAAGATGCTGTTGACCCACTTTGAAGCCGCCTGATTTGCGTAATTTATGGGACCAATTTTGTCGAGCGACGAACAGAATCACATCCTGTCTTCGAACCTTTGGCGAGTAAACAAAATACAATGAAACTTCAGGCTTGTTGGGTGCAGGCCTTTTATGCAGGTATAAGCAGCAACACATTTTTTATGCTATGTTATACCAGATAGTCCCATTGATCGGATTTCTTTCAAAACCAGAGCAGAAAGCCTTTGTCTCATAAATGTTTGGAGCAGAAGTAATTTGTACTCTTTCTGTGATTATTTTCTATTTGACCGTTACGGTCACAGAAATCGTGAATTCCTATAAAATTGCACCTTATTTTTAACTACTGCAATATAGGTTTTTGGAGCTAGCAAGCAATCTTTCCGTATTAAGCCATTGAAGCTCTGTGACTACTTGAAGCATATGCTTACATTAGAATACGTACCGAGTTGATCGACGTTCATGGATGCAGATTGTTGGTATGTCGTGGCAGTCGCCGTCTGCACAAAATCAGTAACGGAAACTATATCGTTTGTGTTAATATTAGCTAAGAGTGCTTATATGTGTATAGACTGGGATTAATGGACGTTGTAAGCTGCGTGTTTACTTTTCGACGCGATTTGCATCAGTTGTTGATGCGGTCTGGAAGATGCATATCGCAGGAACACACTGCTACTTCTGATAGGGGGCCGATGTCGACGCACTGCGCTGGTCCGGCCTGGGAGCAACAATTAGGTCCAAGTCGATTACAATGAAAGATCAGCCATGGGACACAGTAAGATTAGCAGAACGATTTATTTATCAGATGGACAAGTTCTAATTGCAGCGCTGCACTTTTGACGTAAATTTCAAATAAAGCTTCAGAAGGCACAGCTGTGACGGATCGGATTGATGAAGGTATCAGGACACGTCTTTCACTCAGTGTGCGGTGTCCAGAGGCAACTCACCTGACACTAACGCTTAGTAGTATTGCACTGTCAGTCGTTATCAGGTAAATCTATCTATTTGGAGAAGTACCCACTTAAACTGATTAGAAAACTGGCAGCTGCAGATTTCCAAACAGCTCGAGGTGGAGCTCCGATGAAGTACTTGCGTTTGATGGAGCAGCTGGTTATGCTTCTATAACTATTGGGATCATTTGATTTGTTGAGACACTTAGTTCTACTGATATTGGTATCTTCTTAGCGTTTCACCGTTCAGTCTCGCTCCGTTCTTCTCTTTCTGCACGTTCATTCACAGTCTTTATTAACTCACTATCCAGTAGATATGTGGGGTGTTGTACGTTGCGAACCCCTCTCTCAGCAGCGAAGCTCGCATCTAACGAGGCTCGAAGGCTGTTTTCGGAGCTTCCCTTCCTTGTATGATGATAATGAACACATCATCATTCGCAGGTGAACACCACACGCACTTATATCCAACACCCGGCCTATTGGATGCGGCTATTTCACTCATCCAGAAGAGCAATCTAAGAATGATAACATTTCACACAACAACAACAAGGAAGAAGATTAATAGCACATGGAACAACAATTCAGACCTACTCAGGTTTACCAGCGACAGTGACGGCAAATGATTCCAATCCGTTCTCTAGACTGAGTGGTAGAGGTCTCCAACTGCACAGGGGGAGACGAGGTACTGGATCACCTCCAACGGCTGCTGCAATAGCCCAGAGAACGCACGACCCCGGCACTTCGGCTTGACTCGACTAGCTGTCGCACGATGGAAGTCTGAAAAGCGCGACACGACCAGCAGTCAGTCATCAACGACCAGAAGCGGCAGGCAGAGCGAAGAGAACCAACCAGAAATCGCCAGTCGTTGATCACTAACGGGCAGCTTCGGCTGGCGCCATCGTCGTAGCTGACGGACTCTCTACGAGACCGCCCGTGTGAATGCCTACAGCATTGAGATGCTGGGGGACCGCTGCTGTGTCTCTTGTTCGCCAGTCCGACCGCTACCACTCTTTCCCTCTCTTCTTCTTTTTCTTCGACTGCTCTTTTCTTCTTCGTCGTTTTCGCCATGTTTCTGGTCTTCGATTTCTCTGGACGCTGCTGCTACCTCTTCTTCTAATGCTAGCAGTAACAGTGCTGACTGATGACGGTTCTCTCCTTTTGGCCGCTACTCGCGCTCTCTGCCACTAGTCCAGGGCAAAGGCAAACAGCAGCACCGCCAATCAGACAGGAAGGCAACAACGAGACCAGGGTCGTCGATAGCGAGTCGTTCTATCCTCCTTTCTTTTTTCCTAGTTATTCTATTGGTGCCGCTGCTGTCGCCGCCACCGCCGTCGCCGCCGCCGCCACCGCCACCGTCACCGCTGCCGTAATAGTGTGAAACCGCGCTTCGCCGACGGGACTGAGCCACGCTGACCGCCGAGCGCCAAGCGCAGCCAGTTCGGCTGGTTGGTTAGTCGGCATCAGGCAATTCATTCGTTCCCTCGCTGGATATTAGTAATATTGCGGATTACAACTCTCCGTCGGTAAACGTACGACGTCGAACAGCCGACAGTCGGCCAAGCGGCCTTCAGCAGCAGCAGCAGTCGTCGCTGCAGCGGCTCGAAAAGCATAGCAGGTGATGGGCCCGGATAGGGCGAAAAACGGACAGGCAAACTGATGGCCTCCCCACGGCACCCCCAGCAACAGGAATCGAAACATTGAGCTTTTAGAGAAGCAGGCATAGGTTAGATCGACATCCGCTCTAACCAGCAAACGTAACGAAAAAAGTAGTCAACAACAAAAGGAGACGGTGCAAACGATTCTTTCTCTGTTCTATGTGCTTATTACTTGAACTACAGTCTCGGCTGTTACGGTGCTGCATCGGCGCTAATAACAGCGCCGGTAGCGACAACACTGCAGGCACAAGGTAGATGCGAAATACGCAACAGCAACCAGCGCTAATCGCTGCTGGACCTTATAGCCCTAGTAGTGACGCTACTGCTGTTGCTGTCAATTCGACTGTTGAATGCTTGCGGGCTCGTCACTCGGTTGCCACTGAGTGTGAACCGTCAAGCTATCGCTGTCATTTCGATCGTCAGGCCGAACGGATTGACTTCGCTTGCCCTTCCTTTTCGCCTGTATCGGGGCATCATCGGTTGTTAGGCTCCCAGCCAGTAAACAGATGAACAGTTGGTTACTTAGAAACAGAAGGCAAGCCGAATCATGGCGCCCAATTGATTATGACGAACTGATGGGACGGGACGAATTGCCGAAGCAAGCGGCATACATATATACGCGCACGATAGTACAGAGGAACCGATACCTAACTCAGTTGGCACGGAGAACCCAACTGCTCCAGTAAGCAGCAATGCGAGCAGGTTAGCGGCAGGTCGTAGGAAACTGGGCGATACGTTGCTGCGGTTGGAATCTAGCCTGGGAGAGCAGCCGTTCGCCGACAGATCGGTCCACCGACACCCGAGCTAAGGAGGCCCCCACATAATGATGCTGATACTCATGTGTTGCTGATGATGGTTAACGCTGGGGCGCCAGCAGCAGGACCAGCAGCCAGAACAGCTCAAATGGCACCGTCGTTCCATCAACCCCAGTATTTGCTGCTCTCTTCGTAGTCTCCTTGTGCATACAGAGCACGCTGCCGGTGCGTCGGTCTCTGCCCAAACTCTTACGCGATTCTGTGTAGCTGAGTCCGCCAATGGCTACCACCAGCAGAAACTTTCAATGGATCCTCGCACCATCCTTTGTTATTTCACGCCAGCAGCTTATAGCTGCCGGCGATGGCTAGCAGGGCTGCGTGCTGTATTACAATAACCGAAGCGGGTGCAGTAGCTTCGATAACAGTCGCTTTGTTCATACTTTAGCTTCGTTTTGTAGCGTTCGATGCCGCCTATTGAGCTTTTGCTTGTCATCCTTCCACAGCTTGGTTCATGGCTGGCTCTCCTGCGTTTGTACGTAGCGTCTAACTGAGCTTAAGTACGAGCCTTTTTTTTTTCTATTTCTCTAAGTTCTTATTAGGCGTTCGTCAGGTCTGTCTCGCCCTACCTTCTGAGCAGCAGTCGCTGCTGCTGCTGATTCTGCTTGTTCTGGTGGATTTGATTCTTCTGTTTGGTTCGATCATTTTCAGCAACACATATCGGGCACCATTTCTATCTTCGCCACCGTTTCGAAAGGCCTACCTTCATAGGCCAAAGGAACTTCAGGCAGAATGAAATCGGACTCGGGGTTTTTCTTGCGGTCACTCTCCTCATGCCATTTACGCTCTTCGTCTATATCTTTGTCGATTATCGTATCTGTTGCTCTCAGCTCCTTAACTGAAAACTGAGGTTTCAGGCCAGTCGGTATTTTTCGCTCGAGTCACATAGGCCGCAGCAGCGTCACCATCACGAACCTGCCTACATAGGTACTTGCCTAAACGCGACTGGTTGGATCGCACAAAAGCCTCGCGCTTCTTCGTAGTTGCAGTTTTTTTGTCGAACCTCTTCGTATTCTTCAGCTTGTTCTTCGCCAGTAAATTTCGCCAGCACCGAAGTGCTGCTATGCGGCGCCGAAGATTGCTGAAGATCAGTTAGACGTCACAGCAGAGGTGACTCGGCGGAAAGAAATCCAGGTCTGTATCTGTACACAACCTCTACGTACTTCTCAGACAAAACCAGTCCTGAATATGCTTAAGACTTAGTAGAAAGACGGGCAGAGCACTGAGCAGAAAATTTTTGAGGGCGTATTGAGACCCCCCCCCCCCCCCCCACGACTGTCGCTTCGTCGGCATCAATTCTTATACTTCTGTGTACCCATGTTGAACTCGCTGCGAGTGTCTGTATATAATAGAATAGGAAAGGGCCGGGTAAATAGTAACCATTCACAACAATGACACTCCGCTTGATTCATATGTTGCTTGCCTGTTCCGTCGGGTGACTATTGCTGCGACTACCCATTCACTGATCTAGGCCTGCGTGGGTGATACTTGCTATATAGGACGTACAAAAAGAGGTTTCGAAACAGGTCTGCCAGCAGGAGGCAGCGAGATCGCTGAAGTCTGGGCCATTCTTTACAGACATCAAAGAGTTCTGATGGCTAATATATTCCCGGATAAGAACCTTACAAAAAGCTTGAGAAATTGCTCCACTTAACCTTCTCCTGGACTTAGTGCATAGTTACAGAAAAGGAAACAGAAGGGTACACTGTGGAATGAGGAGATCTATGTTAAGAGAGAGCTCGAAAACCCGTAGTTTAACCATTTATTGTATACTGGTACAGTCATAATATTCTATTCAAAGCTATCGCCCGACAATATGATTTCGACACGTTTAATGCATATTATTTGACCATTGATTCTGTTTTATTATATCAAATGACGATATCATTAACTTTAATGACGTTCTGAACGTAGAGGAACCTGGTTTTGATGGAGCTTCAGATGATAAAATTGTTCATATCTTTTCGTAAGCTTTATATAATTATTTCGTTTTTTTCTGCGAAAAACTTTAAAATCAATCATTAAAGCGTGGGAAATTCGTGATTGGTGCTCTGCCACTATTTTTGTTGCCGCCTTCTTTGCTAAAAACTACATTGCCCTATGTTTTTATGCCCTACGCTACTTTAACGCTACAACTGCATTAATGCTGCAATATATAAGATCACGCAACGGACGGGGTCTCTTCGTTGCCAATATTTACTTTTTCAACTACCTTGCCAAAGATACCATTTACAAATGATCATTTACGTACGACTGCTAGACGTAAACTTAGATGTTTAACCCTATCGTTACAGAAGCGCTCGTTATTGCGGACTCAGATTACGTTAGGTAACTGTTGCTAAGCTTCTTTGATTGTGCAATGCATTCATTTATAGAATACGGATGTGTTTGGTTCCTAATCCCGCGTCGACGTCCTAATATATTAACTACTAGCCAACTAGATAATGGATTCTTATAAAGAATTTTACAAACAAACTTAGGTTTTCGGTTAAAGCGACTAGGTGACAAAATTTATAAGTAAAAACAGCAAATCGCATATTTATATACTTTTGTTTTATTTACGCTTCATGTCCTCATTGTCATTTCTGCGGACATGCTGCTTGACATCTTTAGTTCGCCTACCTCATGCATGAGGTCCCGCTCGCTCTCTCTCGCTCTCGGTCTCTCTCTCGCTCTCTCTCTCTATCTCTCTCTCTCGCGCGCGCGCGCGCTCTCACACACACATGTCATTAATACCTATGCATGGTTACTTCTCGTATTCTTGTGAGGCCTTTCCATGTTTGCAATACCACCCATCGGCCGTTGTGTCTCTTGCTATGTCCTCAACTATTTTACTCGCACTCTACCCGGCCATTTAGTGTCCACATAATAGTTTCCCACGGCTTCTGACAGTCTCTGTCGAAATCATTTTTCATCGTCTTTGTCGGTGTATCTTTACTAATTATTTTTTCGCACGCTCCCCTATCTCGCACATAATCTTTCTACTACCTTCCACTAAATCATCATCAACTTCGTAATGTTTGTCATCATTATTAGCATTGTCTCATCAACAAGAATCTTTTTGACTGGGTCGGTCCCTTGCAGATTAGAGACCCTCTTAGGGGTCAACACCTCCTCCCCGTCACTAAACTTGCCATTCACTGGCCCAACCCAAGGAGCTATGTACTCCCCGCGTGCACTAGTCTTCCAAGCACTTGTTATACGTGTATGTGGAAAGAGCGCGCAAACATACCGTCATGTTTTTCTTTTTCTATGATAGCGCCATCAACTACGACCCCCCCCCCCCCCGCACCAGCGTTTTTTTAACACCTGCTTGTTATATTCTACAATATACCACAATCGTCAATTCCCACAATGTTTCCCAATTGACCATACAATTCTCTCCAAGGATCAGCACCTCCCTTCTTCTCCAGTTCACACACAAACTGTGTCATATTCGCTAGTCCGTCTTTTGTCCAATTGTGCACTACCAAGGCCCCGCTATTTATGATAATTCGTAAGCTAAAAGTTCCTACCACCCAAATGAGTTCGACCAGCCAGCTATTTGCGATACTAGGCGATAATGCATGGATAACTGAATAATCCGTTGTTGCCTGTCGATTTGTCGAACTCTGGGTGATATGGGATAGTTTGCAGCGGCACTTAGAACTGCGTAGGCCCGCGCTTGCCGGTCTCTGCCTCGAGATCGATCGACAGTGGGTAGTAACTTGGATTAACGTGTTCTAGACGCGTTGACTGACAGATTACGTCTGACCCTGAGATCTTTGTAGAAGCTCTCTCTTTCTCTAGTTGCGCCTCGTGACTTGGCTTGTAGAGAACTAACAGAACATCGTTGTTCTCGGGTCGATGTTACTGTAAGATCTCTGCAGGATACGAATCTACGCGGGTCTCCTTGTTTTTTCCGTTGTCTTAGGTGCTATGTTGCCCCCTTGCCTATCGCCTAAAAGACGGACTCTGCTGAACGCGAAAGGTGCACCGGGTGGGAGGGGCAACGCGCCAGACGTTTCTTCGGCAGCCGAACGAGGAGCATTTGCAGACGGGCGAAGTCTGGCCGATCGTCTGCTTGAAATGACCAACACGACATGAGGATATCTTTGACGTCCTGTGATGTTTGCAGGTTAGCCAAAGGCGGCTTGACACCTTTGGCGACCTGCCAGATGATTGCTTCTGGCGGCTGACTCCTGAACGGCCAATCGCCGCACAGCAGCTCGTAAAAGACCGTACCGAAAGCGTACACATCACTGCGAGTCGAAAACGACAGATCAGGCTGGCCCGCTCCGGGCCGAAGATCTCGGATAAGCTCAGGTGCTAGATAGCACAGCCAACCTTGTGGGATAGTTAACCAGTCACCTCTATGGCCACCCTGTCCACCCTGGCATAGTTTGACTACGGAGAACAGACCAAAATCCGTAATAACCACCTTACCATTCTCGTAAAAGATATTTTTCGTCTTTAAGTCCTTATGTAGAATTCCCCTCGCGTGCAAATAACCCATACCTGCAAAATGACCACAGCATCGAGATGAAACAAATGATTATATACAGCAGGAAAAACTGCCGAATAAAGTTATTATATCTGATATTTTTCACTAGATATCAAAATAGATTTGCGCTTAGAGTGGGCATTGATTTCATTCTCTCTTTCTATTTCGACCCACCCCTCTGTGTCTATTACCCAAATGTAATCAGATCCTACTTTTATTAACAAGTATGGCATGAGAATAGCGTTATCCTTATGATATAAATAAAAAAAAAAACCACAACGCCGCACATCGATTCGATGGCTGGGATACGCTAGATGATTTATTTACTAACTAATGCATTTTATCGTTCTGAAAGCGAGAGGAGAAACTGTTACTCACCGTGACATATTTGTAACGCTATTTGCGATATCCGGTTGAGGTTGAACTTGTCCTTCCGTAAGTGCAGATGCCTGTATAAAGTCATGCCCTTACAGAGTGAGGTAACAATAGCCAGCTGTGGCGGCTTCATGCAGGCGCCCATAAATAAGACGAGGTTCTCGTGACGAGTTTTTCGAAACGTTGCTACCTCTTGTTTAAACGTATCCATGATTTCGCTTTGTCGACTAGCGCTTTGGGAGGCCTGCTCCATATTAAGCATTTTCACGGCAACGGCGCCATGCCAGCTTCCTCTACACATCAGAAAAAACAAGAACAACGGTAGCATAATAGTGATATAAACGCAACAAGTGTTATAATACAAGGAACCAACCGTATTGATTTTTACATTTAGGTCGAAATTAGAAGGTTGAACATTAATTTAACGTAATTTTTTTTCAGTTTTCCTTCACAACGCGTGCCGGTCAATTTGTCTATACGAAACTGTGGTCCAACTTTGATAGAAATTATTTAATGTTGAAGGAAGATCATTTGTTTGTATCTATACGAAGTTTTGTATGATAGTTACCTGTACACAACTCCAAAACGGCCCTCCCCGAGTTTTTCTTGTAGTTGGACTTCGTCCAACGGAATGTCCCATTCGCGCAGCGATAACTAAAACCATCAATACAACAATATTCAATTATGCAACCTTATTAGTTAGTGTAAATTCTAACAGCGTTAAGTTATAGAACGATCAGTACATTAATCACCTATTTCCGATCGTCCAAAAGTGTAAACAAATATTTGCTGGGTTAGGGAAGCCTTGCTAGAATATTGTCAGTGGTAGGTGCCATCATGAGCCGAGCGGTCGGGAAACTTCGACGCTCACACAAGTACAATAAAGCAAGTATAAGAACGGCTCAACCTGGGCGGCTATTGCGCATTGTTCCAAATTTTTTTCCAAAAATTTTTCCAAACAAATGAATCGTACAAGCTATACCATCTTATCCATCTGTTAAGGAAACCCCATATAAGTATAGCAAGACTCGTCTCCGCCAGACCTTCTAGTGGGAGCAGCTTTTTATACTATACACAAGCAGTGGTTCCGAGGACCTAACTGCATTTCAAAAAAAAAATAGCCGAAAGTGTTAAAAAAAATTGAAGGGTTTATTCAGATGTAACTGGGACGTTGTAGTTTATATAGCAGGCGTTATAATTCAAAGCTGTTTCAGTTTTTTGGCGCAATAGTAACTGTTCTACAACGCACAGAAATCCGATTCAAAGGGTGTGCTCTCTTTGCACCCCACCGTCCCACCCTGAATAGTCAAGAAAGGGGCGAAGGTTGATTGAATAATTTCGTGTAAACCATCAAAGCGTCAGCCATCGTCGTTGTCATTCACTTTAGCTTAAAAGCGTGCAAACTGGTAGTGTCGACAACTAAATTCATTAAGGGATAGAATTAAAAACCAAGGAAGGTCGTGACTTTTCTCTAGGCACACGCATCCGGGAGGCAAAGTAGTGGAACTGGTTCACGTTCGGATGTCAAGGAAACACAACAAGAACAACATGAGCTGAGCTTAAATACGGATGGTGAGACTGCGAACCATAGACATTTAGAAGACAAAACCACACAACACACAAAATAAGTGCACAGGAGTGATGGAAAACAGGTTGTAGAAATTAGTGCAGGTGCTATTATGGTTGATTCGAGAGCAATAGGGTACTTTTTTAAGTTTTTGATTCATACACTGTTCTGTCGGGGCCAAGGTTTGCCTGCAGCGTCCTGTTCGGCCACATCGAACGACACCTGCGAATCCTGCGAGCCGATCCGTAGTGACAGTGTCTTCTCGCTATCCGTCTGCATTAATAAGAACAATAAGTATAAAAATAACAATGGTGGCTCATGTTGATCGACAGGACTGCGCTGGCGTCACACAAATATGCCAGAGATTTTATCTACGTGGTAATAATCCGATCGCGAAGAATAACAAACTGTTAAATACATATCAATTTATAGATACAACTGCTTGATGCATGAACATGGAACATTTGTTTAGAGGACTGAACATTTAATATTATCCGCATGAAGTTCAATGCATCTTCATTTTTTAAAAAAATTGGGTTTAATAATGTGTATTCCGAGAAAAGCGCGCTAGGTGATCCATATGTAAGAAAAAACAATTCTATTCGATCTTATGGGATACCGCGCGCATATATCGTTAAAGGTTTACGCTGTCCCAACATGAAACGATACCGCGACGGGTTCTGCTTGTCACTATGCGATATGGCATATATAAGTTAAGATTCCTAAAAAAGTATTCGATCGCAACTTACACTTATGCTGCCTGAATTCGAAGCGGCAGATACGACGGTGCGATCCGAATCGGTCGACCGCAAAGAGTTCGCTTTACCAGCGTGGCCTTGGCCACTCGTCGAAGGCAAGCTGCCATCGCGGCCGCTGGCAGCAGCTACCAAGTCGTCAGGTGGAAACCGGAAGACCTGTTTGCCACTGACGCCTCCAACGCTTGCCAATACCTAGAAAACGTCGCATTTAGCCAACGAAAAGAAACAACATAAGAAAGAAGGAGCCGGATGCAGCTTAGCCGTTATGGACCTTGTGTGAACTAATGGGGGAAAGAGATATGAAGGGGAGACGAGGAAAGATCTGAAAATATGTGCACTAACGTAGTCAAGATCATTAAAACACGGGCATCAGCCCGATTAGAAAATATTGAGCCATTGAGCTACCTGTGGCGAATTCGGTGCCGACGAATTGCATGACGACGTATTTGATGAAGAGTCGCCGGTTTGAGGACCGTACGCGGAGCTGAAATGAGGCCCGACGCCCCCGGGTAACCCCTGCCGAGACAGCACATGGCGTGGCAGTGAGGGTGAGTGACCCGGTAACGGACTACTTGACACCTGTTCACTGCCAGCGCCTATAAGCGAACAAAAAGCAGAATCACATCGAATATTGTAGTAAAGAACGGAAATCCGATTAATGCTGTACCAGGTAGAATAAGAGCACTGCTCAGGTAATTAGGTCAATGATGCTCGAGCTCAGCGCACTGGTTGGATTTGGTGTCTAATTATGATTTATTATTGAGCACCCGGTTTCCTCCCGAAGGTCGAGTAAAATCGAACAGACGGCTTTCGATACCTTCGTCAACCCGTTGCACGCGCATCTTATTATAGCGGTATACACGTTTTACAACTATCCCCTTTTATCGATTACCTTCTACGTAATGCGTATATAATCATAGTGGAAATCTGATTGAAATGCGAACGAATAGCAAGTACAATAGGGACCAATTTTTTCGGATATATGTTGCGCTAAGCTGCACATTTATTCGAAAGAACTTGAAATTAACGTATCTTTAGAATAAACGAATTTACATAATACTTACCCTGGTTATATCTTTGTGCGAAAACATCAACAAGTTCGTTGGGAAGCCCGCAGCTAGGTGGGACCTGCAATTAATAAATACCGATAGTTAATTCTTTTAGCTATTTAGTATTTTAGATTGGTGGAAAAACCATTTAAGCGCTGCCTTTAAAGTGTACAGAAATAGACTTAATTTAAAAAATTACTTCAGCACTTTTACAAACCTTGTCCACGCAGTCCCTATGACAACGGAATTTACACTCTCGGCATTTATAGCCGAAAAACATTGGCTTGTCACACTGTTGGCATGTCGTTACCTGCAAAAATCAATTTAATATTACTAACGTTATTAATTAATTGTTAATTAACGTCCACTATTGGTGCTTATATGTTTGCTTTTAGTTTTATTATGTTCTACTTCCTCAAACGTTTTCGAGAGACCAGTTCACCATGTAAATTAATCTTGTAGATTATAGGATACCATATATATACATGCACACCTGTTGTGTGCATGTACATATATGCACGTTGGCGGACTCATATCACCCTCTCCTAGACTAATAACTTCTCACGCTTTGCATCTTAGGCTACAAACTTGGGTGAACTAGCTTACAGACATTAGGTAGAGACGTATTTGTGACGACGTTGCGGGAACGTGTTTGCACGCTAAATTTGAGGGACACGTGGTGGTCTGTGTTCGAAGTCAGGTGTAGACACTTCGTTTCGTGCTGGTGGGTATGCAATCTGATGGGTTGTCTAACAGTGGTATCGGACGTAAAACTCAATACGTTGGGATCAGATAGCCATGACGCTTTCACTCACCTTGACCGTGGATGAAAATCGATGGTGAATGGCGTGTCCCATTCCAGGAAGGCGCGGGGAGCGTGGTACCGCTAATGTAGGAACCGAGGCCGCTAGGATGAAGATAGATTTAGAATTATAATTTTTTGAGCTAATTATTGATACCTAGTAAAAGGTCCCCGTGATGGCGGACTATATGTCGCACTTGCCTGCTGCTCATATCGAAGTGATACTAGCAAAATATGAAGTAGTTTAGAACCAAATCTGTTCTTCACTGCACTTCAATGGAGCAATGCACTTCCCTTTAGCTGGTAGCTACCAAAATTATCTAATACAACAGCAAACGTAGTTTTATGGCATGCGACTTAAAAACGTTTGTCTACGTTTTTAAATGTTGCTGAACAATTAGCAATAGAACAATTCGTCTACAGTCTTGTAACCAATAGTACTGTACAAAAATGATTTTGTCATACAAAAATTACAGTCAGAATGACTTATCCACGATTGCAATGATACCAACTGGTGGCGATGCCACAGACTTTTTACAGCTTTGCAATTATGACGTCGTTCAAATGATGATCAATGCCCCGCCAGTGTGGCAAAGTTCATTGTTACTGCATATTCATTCACATAGCTTGTCTATGTGATTCCGTGGAAGACAATATATTCTTCCTGTCGTCGCCAAGATAGACCTCGAACAAGGGTATGCAACAGGGAGGTCACGTGAAACTTAAACACGAGAAATACAGAGCCAAGGAGGAATACGTTGTCATTTCTCTGCTATTTGGGCACACTTGTACTCACAGAATTCCATGTTTCACAGCTTATCCCGCTGTAAAACTTGAAATCAATTCTTCTATTAAAACGAATATTTTTTCTCCCAATCCGGCTAGGCAGCCTTTACAAGTGAAATCCTTCTTTTGCAAATAAGGCAAGACTCTTGCTTCATTAACTTAGACTCTAAGTTACCGCATGTGGTATTAGTATTCTACGTTAGACATAGAATGGCAACATGCGTAATACATAAGGTATGATTCACAATGATTAAATTAATGAAGATTGCTACATATTGAAGTTCTAAAGAGACAGACAAAAGCATACACAACATACACAGGCAAACACGGTGCTCATTCTGCCTCGACATATCAATAGTCAGCGTTACCCAAAGCCTTTCGTATGGTAGTTCGTCGCTGGGTTGGCATTAGCGCTGCATTTGAGGTGTGATCCGTCTGATTTCAACTAGTAATCGGATTTTTCACATGATTCAAAATGCCCTCAACACACTAGATCAGCCAATATATAATCGCTTATCTAATTATATGTTGAAGCAGAATGTGTTTATATATAGTATATATACATATATATACTATATGTAAACACATATATGTATATATATATATATATACGGTAAAAATAATCCACCTAACAACTGATACGAAAAATAAATCTACACCACACAGCACTCACGTTGTTGCTGCCCGTGGGGGCCAGCGAGTCCAGGCGCATCCGGAGATTCGACGAACGCATTGTCAGCCGAAGCATCCGGAGAAGTGATGAACGAGGGACTTCGCGACGGTGACAGGCTTCCGCTGGCGGGCGTCGGCTCGGTTTGGTGACGCCTGCGGGGTGGACATCTGCCGATGCCACTTGGCCCCCCGACGATGTGCTGCGAAAATTGCTGTTGTTGTTGTTGCTGCTGCTGTGGTTGCGTCTGAAGCTGAAGAGGCTGGTTGCTACTTCCGCTGACACTGTTTGTGCTGCTCGTACAACTGTGATGTTGTATTTGTGGTTGCAGATGTGGATATGGCGGCTGTTGGAACTCCAGCTGGTGATCGCGTAATGAATGCTCATGCGATCGAGACTTGCTCACCAAGCCGCTGCTACCACTGCGCTCGGCCGCGTTGTTGTTGTTATTGAGGCTCGTCACAAACGACGTTGGTGTTTTTCGAATGTACGGTGGTGTCCGGCTAACAACGATTTAGCAATAATAATAACAATAATGACAACAATAAAAAAATAGCAAAAAGTAAACGAGGAAAAAATAATTATAATTAAAGGTAGCCTTGTATTAACAGTCACCTACTATATGATTTTTCTAAAACAAGTTTGTCTGACTTATGTGGGCTATCTGTTTTAGAGAATGGTTTTCCACTAGTGTGTATTATTAATGTGTAGAAAACACGCCTGGGCAATCCCAGCAACATACACTACTCCCCCGGAGTGAAAAGAGCAGGACGGAGTGAAAACTCGGGAGCAAAACAGCAAACGGTCGCGTGCCATAGTTCGCCGGGTAAAATTGAATGGATAATATAATCTACTCACAATATTAGATAGCCTACACCACGAAATAGCTACTATTTCCCATGATCGCAGACACGCCACCGTGATCGCAAAGGCCCACTCCGAACTTAAAAGAGGGTTCAGAGTTCCTACTCTAATTCCAGTCCAATGCAATGTCGATTTTGTTGTATTTTCTGTTGAATAAATTAGCCGGCTTTAGTTAGGCGACGAACCCTATAAAAACTAGCGTGTTATTATTATGCTATAGTTACATATGATCAAGCGGTTTTACACATACCTGTGTTGGCATGGCCCTGCGGACGCGGAGGACGCGGCGTTCCCTGATGCCGTCAACGCAGTTGGGTTTACCAATTTCTCTACGGGCGATACTCCCGCCGTCGCATTGACGGCAGTTGAATTAGCGGAATTATTAACGTGCGGTGTCATATTGTTGCTTGTTACACTTCCCACTGAACTAGCAGTAGTTGCGTTTCCCGCAGAATTTCCCGATTGACTGACCAAGTGATTTACTAAAGGTGATCCAGGCGAAGCGGGCTGCGTTAGTATCGCCTGCGGTCCTGCTCCTGATCCAGCTAAACCGCTGACCCCGCTGCTATTGTTAACCGTAGCAGGACTTCCACCTGGCGTTCCGGCCGCACTACCGGTTCCTGCTGTATTCATAGCAATTCCACTACCGGTTCCACCTGTTATGGCCGCCTTCTCCCCACTTGTTGCAGTTCCATCTATCGTTCCTGCGTAGCTACTGCTGCTGCTGCAACTGCTTCCACTAGCCATGCTTGCCCCTAAGCGAGACTCAATCGTAAGGCCCTCTGGACACGTCAGGTACTCCCAGCTTAGGTCTTCAAACCCGTCTTCGAACTGCCAAAATTTAGACGAGGATAAATAACGTTATCAAATAGATGTATCGTGTTAGATAGAATAATATTATCGACAGCGATGGCATGGCTGTGTGACATTTTGAAACACCGAATTTCATACCAAAAAACTGTCAAAAATGAAGTAGAGTCAAGCCCGAGTTGCTCATAATTGTGTGTAATAAAATTGCCTGAAATGAACCGGAGTGATACGACGAGACTCGTCCGTTGTATGGTTTACATTGAAAAAGTTCCATATGTCATAGTTTGATGCTCCCTTAAATTTAGTTCTAACTTATGAATATCCGCAAAAACCTGTTTTGTATGGTATTTAGTTACACTTTGGCTTTATACAGCTTATTACGACAGCTTAAACGACCGAGAGTAAAATCGTGGTTTTCCATAAACAGCAGAAATAATTGTGTGCACGTTCCCTCTAAAACAGTGTTATAAAATAACAAAGCAGATCTTCATGTGCGAAAAGCCATCTATTTCTCTCACCGCCTGATACCTGAATCGGCACGGTTCTGAGCATAAGCTCTGTTCAAATTTAACGACATGGTAAATTCTACAATACGAAATACGGCTACATTTTCTTCCGAATGGAACAATTCTATACTGAGAATAAATTGCATCAATGGAATCTTTTTTAAATAGAAAAAGAGGTGCAAGGATTTTTATCAAACTGTTGCAGATCTAACAGGGTGCTTTCTTTTATATCGTATATACTCTAACTCTAATAAAAGCTCAGAAACGGCCTAGGTGTCTAGGTTTTAACTCACCGTTTGCGTTGTACCGCTAAGTTGCCGACTTGTGCACTTCCTGAGGTTTCGGAGTGCCGTAAGGAGACGTAACCGCTCCTCTGTTTGATCACAGAGCACATCTAATATAGGATGTAAAAACAGTCGAAAAGAAACAGATAGAACATAATCTTATAAAATAGCGGAATCATCATCACCGGCATCATGCTTTCAAAAGATGTCAAAATGGTAACAATGAATGGTATTTTGAAATGCATATCTGGTACTAAACAATAAGCAAAAAGTCATTCCTGTGTACATCCAAATTATTTTAGAATTGCGTAACTCAATTGTACCTTCCTGATCAGTTTCTAGATTTACATGTACATACAAATGATTTTGGTCGACTTTTTCTAAATGAAAAACGATTTTGTGCTAGAACGACGACTCAGCCTGTGCTACATTTTTAGGCTAAGTTTGATGAATCTCGTCCTTCTCATTTCTATGGGCACATCGTATGTTTTATGGACTTTAACCATTTTTGATGATAAGCATTAAACGCGCCTATGTTCAGTGCCTTCTTGGTCAATTTCAATGCATCAAGGTAAAACAGAGAATGCATTATATGTTTTGTTATAGTTTAAATAAACTGTTTGGAACTGAAACGGCACTTTAAGCCCTTTTCCTCAAAAATTCTGGTTATTGACAGCAAACTTAAGACTGCTACAAAATCTCTAGTTTCCTGGTAATCTGCTATTTACTTTTGCATCGATGGCAGCTGTAGCCTAGTTTAGACGCCCAAAAATAGCTTGTTTCTCGTTGAAAATTCGTTTCTGTCCCCAGTATACTATTTTGACTAGCGTGAGCTAAAAACATTGTTTCCGTCAAGCATGTCAACTCAAACCTTGCACTTGGAGGGTTCTCAACCGAATAGACAGGCATTGCTACAAATCTCTGCCTCAGACAAGCCCTACCAACGATACAATGCGTCCGAATGACGAAACCTTGATCTAATCAACGATTTTCATGCTAAATGGCAAGTTGGTATTTGCGACACGATTAAATATATATCCTATCATGTAAATAGTTAATATTAGTTACATGACTAACATAGTAGTATCATTAATAATATAGGTTTCAGCAACATAGTGTGCTTTATTCAGTGTGAGATCTTATAAGCTCAATTATTTTAATTGGGTCATTGGGCTGTATTGCTCTTTTATGCCCGTTTTTAGTCTGCACCACGCACTGCTGAAAATTCGACCTTCGACATGAACAACATCAAAATTTATTTCGAACATCTATTTAATTTCGAGTAATTTTTCTTGCATGATCCCAGGGTTTGTTTGAAGAGCCTACTTGGCTTTCATAAATTATAATTTTCGTGACCACAGAAAGGTGCCTTGCGGGTGAAAGATGACGAGTGAATGATTTAACGCGTTCGTCGATATTTTGTGCAATGATTCGTATGAGTCAATACACAGTTCTTTCAGTGTCGGGAATGCCTTCATCTAGGCCAATGTAGGAACACCGCATAGCTCGTGTCTCATAGAAAGGGTAGAGGGTCTGAACTGAGCACTTTCACGCATAGAGGAACCCAGTCAAAATAGGTATCGCAATGGTATTTTTCATAGAGTGGCTCGTTATGTAGATCATTATGTCTGTCCGATCGAATTCATTTTTTCAGTAAAAACTTCAGGGTCAGAGCTTACTGTCAACGTTTGCTATTAAACTTTTAAATATAAAACGTTTGAATAATTTTCTTTATTACATCTATATCTGTATATATATATAATATATATATATATATATATATATATTATATCAATTACAAATGATTATTTAAGCTTTCGACGTTGTTACATTCAGGCTTGGTATTGTCTTTCTTTGAAATTATAAGGAGTCTGGTGACTTTTTTGAACTAAATAAACATCTGGAATATTTATTATCTAAGACGATACAACATGTATGAAATGGGTCGAAGAGGCCTCGCTTAATGTACTCTACGCTAAGATATCCAAGCGTGGTGCTGTCTTTCATCCGAGTTACGACGATTAAGTGTCTCAGTCGAACTCGACTGAAAAGCTTCGATTCATTTAGGGTAAAGAGTAAACAGTCTTCAGTAACCACAATCTATTTTGACGTTTCCCTTAGAATTTTAGTACTTAAATGACTTGAGCATGCGGGGTCATTTAGTCTGATGTTTAGTTTTTGTCGTATGGTGCATGTCTCATTATTTGACACGACACGTACTTCTTGCTACGCCGATAGGATAAAACAGGCATTTGTGGTAAATGTTTTTGGAAGTAAATTCCACATGGAAATTGCTAATTTATATTTGTCCTTCGTGTAAGCCCGAAAGCGCGCAACGTTCAATAGCCGTGGCTTGGTGTAGATCACTTTAAACATTACGTGCAGGAAATGTAATAATATTTATTTCAATCAAAACTTAACAGTGCGTTAGAATAACCCAAATGAAAAACCCATGAAAAACAACTAGCTTCTATCTATGGATCGAACCCGACAGCATGCTTGCAAATAGTCCACACAAATTTATTATCTATATAAATTTTTATGTATAGTTATAGTAAATGTATAGTTAGTAACCTTTGATTTGGTCGTCGGAACGTGCTAACAGTTGATCAAAGCTGCCACCAACGAGGCGAGAGACCCCCGCTATGCTGGGTTCACTGAGACCAACTACTCGAAGCCACATTTGCAGTTTCGGATACTCAAATGGGTCTTCGCTGCGCTCCAACTGCTGGCGAGCCACTAACTGGCGGGCGAATAAACGCACCAACTTCGTCTGTAATAGCAAATACAACGGCCCAACTATTATTATCAGAAAATGGTAATTGTCACGATGGTTCTTGCAGCGGATGCTGTTAGAAGGATTATCAAAAATAATCTAATAATAAGAAAGTGCGCCCTCTTCCTTATGTCTTGTTACGCAATATACTGGCACCTTTTTGTCAACTTCTTGGGTCATCACTCTAGACATCACGTTTGCGATTCAGGTTTATTTCTTCTGTAATCAATGTTATATCAAGACGAGCAGCGCCATAGTGCTCCTTGTGTGTCTGTGCGTGTGTGTGTATATGTGTGTTTATGCGCGTGTGTGTGTGTGTAATTCTAACTGTAATATTGTGTCATATAAAATTCCAGAACTATGCAAGCATTTACTTCTCACCTAGAGATTGTAATGGTTAAAAAGAATACTCGTTTTTAAAAAGTATGTAGAACACTATCGATTTCAATAATTATTATTATATTCATTTTAATAATAAGCCCCATAACAGTGGAAATCGGAAACTTGAGCAGTGTTGTAAGGACACAACAGTTACGCTAAACACTTATTTACAATAATCTAAATGTTTTTCTTTCATAAAACACTTAAATCATCGCATCCAACTCAGTACGTAATTTATTTTGAGTAACCACTAAGATTTATCAGTTTTTATTAATTGTTCGATACTATTTACAGGTTCCGTTTTATAAAAAAGGCGATTGTACGTTGCGTATTAACACTTCGCCGGTGGTCTGCATTTCTTGCAGAGATCATGTTTGCCGCTACTGCAACACAACTATCAAATTCTGTTTCAGTTCAGCCTAGTTAGAAAAATATGTCACCCACGTCGATTCATTTAGAATAACACTTCACGCTTTTAGCTGCTCTCAACACAATTATGCGAGGCAATTTAGTTAATTGTTGGCCTTTTTTAAAATTAAAACCATATTGAAGAACTGGTGATATTTATAGCGCAAGCCACATATGCCAAATTTTGTAAAACTATAACTTTAGCTCAAACAACGTCACAAAGGGTTAAATCTAGATGGCGCCTCTAATCTTACATTTAATCAATCTCGTTTAGGCATTTGATTATTTTCTCCGGTGGTTTGCTCAGCGGGAGCTAGCTAGGCCTGCTGAGACAATACTATATTCCAACCAAATGACTATTTTTTCGTATTATTATCCCACGCTAGCTTGTTTTCGTCCTAGTTAGTTAACCTACTTTTATATTTCTTCTCCGATTCTTTTTTTCTTCTCTAGTAGACAAAACCATTACACTCCAAACGTAATTGGGGTATTATATTTGTTCTACTGCTACGATATAACATTTACGTAAAAAAATGTTAATTTCTCGGCACAGGTTTTAAATATGTCTTATAGTCTAATCTACCACTTGTGAGCATTTCACGAGAAGATGATGATCTTGTCAGGGGTGAATATTTCAACTTAGTTAACCACAAAAAACAACCATTTCAATTAAGTCAAAATCAGACATCTGACTTCGTGTAAATCGCTATTCGGCTAAGATGTCCCATCGATTTAATAATGCACATTTACATATAAACCAGCAAGTCTGTTGAATTTTGTTCGTTAGTCACATCAGTTTGCTTTGGGCGGTTGTGGCCGTTGGTATTTTTCAATAACCGCAACTTCAGTCACAAAGTACACAGCCAGCAAAAAAGGCAGCTGCTTGGTCATATCTAAATGTACCCTGTGCTTATACGCGCCAATATTCAAAAATCAAACAGTTTAATGCGCTTTACTTTCTCGAAGTAGTAGGGGGCTTATTTTTATTTATTATATTCCGCTCCTTGTTTAAAGACTCAAAAAAGTCATTATGGCCTAATTCACGAAAACCGGTATGGTCATCTAAACATACAATAACTCTCCAGTAAACTCTTTGGCACGATCTAGGTTTAGAAGAAACATCAGGGATTAATCTTGAGCTAGATTAGCTGACAGTTCAATTTAGGATTTTATCAAATTTACATTTGCTGTAAACTGATGGTCTAACAAAGTGTTACATGGTAGTTGAATATACGGGTAAGCATTTAAGCAAGATTATTCTTGTTGTCCGCTCCAGAAAAAAAATATAATTTTTTTCTGGTGCGGATAATGAGAAATATATATATATATATATTAGCTGACTCACTCACGTTGAGGCAATGTTAGTAATTGTGACCATCGGTCTAACTAAGGTTTCGTTGAATTATATCTGTTTTCGAATAGAGAAAGCAAAGATCTGCAGCGATCTAGTACGTAGTAGATAATAGCGATAGTACAATGATATAAATATGAAGAATAATAATAACGGAAGAGGACCTACCTATCTATTAACCTGTACCTACCTCCAGGATGCGTATCTCATTCTGGGTGATGTGGTTGTCAGCGAGGCAGGTGGTGCGCAGCCCATTGAGGTGTTCGAACGAAATGTCGATCATGGCCTGGGCCTGCAGGCACGCCTCGCGAGACCCGTAGCGCTCCTCGGCTGCCATCGCCCCGAGATTCCTCACACCACTGTCTTCCTCATGCCGCAGCCACCGCTGGCAGCGACAATGGATAATGCTCGAAATGATTTTCAGTAAAAACCGCTGCTAGGCCACGACGACAACAGCCGTTGCTTCTATTACTGCTGCTTTTACACAACGAACTCGACAGCGAAGATCGGCGAAAGTAACGACAATGATGTGAATACGAATTGCGTACACTCCGTAGCCGATGTACCAGTGACGAGTGTACACAGTGTCTGCGATAAGGTGGAGAGCGATTATTTAGGAAGAAGAATACACTGCGGCGGCAGCAGCGAAAAACACCGTACCCGTTGGTGCTGATCGTCTTGATCGTATCCTCGACGCTAGAACTGCACTCTGTGTTTCCAAGAACAATCTGCTTTTTGTTGTTCTTTTTCGTGGCAGGTTTCTTGCCAAGCAGTTTGACCCGACTGGACGTAGGCTTTCTATTGCCGTTGCAGATTTTGTCGTTGTTAGAAATCGTCTGGGTGAAAAGACTACTGATAGTCGTGTTTCTTCTGCGACTATTGCTGCTACTTCTGCGGATGTTAGTCTCAGTGGTATTAGGCTGCTTCGTCGACATGCTGCCTTAGTCGTCCAGGGCCCTCGGCTCCGACGTGTCTCGTCGAACTCCACTCGCTTGCGCGGCGGTCCCTGCTTACCTTTGCTGCTATGATGATAGTTCAGCCGTTACGACTGTCTCTGACAGTGCTTTCTTTCTGTCCCATTTTGCCTTTTTTCTCTGCGTTGACTTGCCTGACTGCATGTACATTCCTCGTTTACCGTTCTCGGTCGCTTATCTTTTGTGGCTGAGTCTTACATTTGTGGCGTGACGTCGCCCTTCAGATCGATGCAACGAAGACGACGCAAATGGATCTTTTTGTACAACTGTTGTTGCTATTGTCACCAGCGTATTATCACCATCTTGCCACTATTATCCCGCTGTTTCAAGGGCTTCTTAATAGCGCTTTTCGTGCAGGGATTTCATAGCTAGAGATTCAAACACGAAACCTATCTCTTTTCTATATCTTATTTGCTCTTTCTCACTTTTCCTTTCAGGCCTAAATCAAATGCGTCACACATTCTGTCACACCGGCCGCATGTGTTCCACGTGCTCACGAATCCCCCGAAAATCGAGATCAAAACCAGTTAATTAGTTTGCTATGTATCAGACGTGCAGGGTCTTAAGCGACAGGCTATGCTCAGGGAAGTGACAGCCTCCACCGATCGTTTCTCTGCGCTCGCTCCTATTTTTAGATGTTACCGCTTGTTCGGTTAGCTATGAAGCTACTTTTGCTTTCACATTGAGATGTTGCTTCTATTAAGTATTTTTTAATGTCGTTAATACCACAACCCGCTGCCCCCCTCCCCCACTCCTGCTATACACGCCTGTAGCCTATCGCAATCGAGGTCGCGATCGTTACTGTCCAATTATGGTCCGTACACGTCGACTCTGCCCACCTTGTTCTTCAAAGCTCATTTGTGTCCCATTATAATTTTAGAGATAGCGGCTGCCGCGGTGCGAACCGCTGTTACATGAACACTTATGTACGAATTCAGCAAGTTAGCACGGTTTCGAATGCGCAACTCGCACTATGCACAAAGCTAAATAGGATTGGCGCTGGGCCGCGCAAAAACCGTTGCATAGACAACACCGCATACGGAAAAGCATTCCCACAACCTTACTGCTGTCCCACTGACTGCAGCCGTCGGAAATCTTTACACAGACTTCACCATATATAGCTGTTGCTACTGCTTTTGACACTGTCGAATTGAATCATACGACTGGCACCTCACCAGAGCTTATGTGTATGTGTGTGCACTACTCCTTAATCTTGTCTCTGCCAGCAGTTAGTGAAATACAAAATGCCCATGAATGTTATTAGCAGCAAAGAGTTCTGCTTGTCGTGATGGTTATGGGGTAATAGCAGCCGGCCACAAAAACAATAAGGTCCAGATAAGGACGATGTTGGATGGCAATGCAGGCCACAACGATAACACGACCACTGAAACACCGTCGTCGCTTCGCTCTCAGACAACCCAGTCGAATGAGTAACAACTCGTGTTTTCGCCAGTCCTGTGTCTCTATATGTGTTTCAGTGTACATGTGTGTGTGCATCGGTCTGTGTATGCGTTAGACTGCTTTTCTAACTGACTAACCCCCGGGGGTGCTGCTGGTGTTCCTCCCGTAGTTTCCGTTGCTACAACCTGCTAGTCGTTCCGGCTGCTTCAGATTTCTGTACCCCTTTGCAGGATACCCGATACCCGGGCGGCCCAACTCGGTGCGGTAGGTTCAGAGCCAGAACCCGTCCGATGCAATCGGGAGAAAGAGAGACACTAAATCTGAATAAGAAAAGAGATGCGACAAACGGCGGGTAGGAATCACTCGCTTAGTGTGTCTGAGTTCTATAACGAGCACACGGAGAACCTAAAGAAACCTGTTGTGGGCGGCGGGAGGCTAGTTTATGGTTGGTACGGCGAAAAGCCTCCCACAGAAATTGACGATAGCACAACAGCAGCATGGATTGAGTACAACACAACGATAGCTGGTAGCACGTAGAAGACAGTGAGGCGCACACTGCGCCCCCAATTACGACGATACCTATCGTCGTTTTACAGAAAACTTTGCTCGTCCAAACGACGGAAAACAAACCGTCAACGATCGTCACTGTAGCAGCACGGATAGAGTTCTTGGGACTATCTAATTGTAAAATTTTCTATATGAAGGGATACAATAAGGGCAGCGTAATGTAACACGGCACGATGCGGCGCCATGCAAACGCGAAACTAGTCACTAGCGCGCGACACCTGCTGACGAGAGGTCCTCCACGGTACAGTTTTGTACTCTATAATATGTATGCTTCGATCCACTGCCTTGCACCAGAAAGTGAACGTGTCGGAACTCACCATGGGCTCACTTGTGCTCCGCCCACGACCCCCCACCAGTAAAACCAACACGGTGTCGTCGTCTCTGCTACATTCAGAAGGACTCACGACGTCTGCAAAACAACGTAAAGTTGCTGTTACGTAGAGCTGCTGCAATCTCAGCAGCACGCGCAAAAGCGCATCCGTTCATAGCAATGCTACGATTTGTACCAATGTAGCTGTTATCGTTAGAGAGAAAAAACTCACGCAAATCTCTTTTCACACTCCACCATAACTTTAGCACGTTCACGACTTCATTACCATCTACACAACAGAAGCAGCAGCAGCAGCGACAGCGGCGGTCAAGCCGTTGATTTGAGGTTGCTTCACGCTTCTCGTATCATCTGCCATATTCCTTTACTTCGTACTGCTGAAAACAAAAACGGCAAAGTGAGCAAGTAAACTTCTGCCGCTCACCATCCAACCACTTCTATATATAAGTATTTATCCATTCATTTGTTCTTGCACGAAAAAACAAAGACACAGAGGTTCAGCAACGGATCCCTTCTCACGGATTGGGACCCCGAGCTAGTTTCGACCGGCTAAATTCCGAAGATTTAGTGGGCCCACACACGATGGTTCGCCTATTTTCTTTTACTATCCGACAACTGCTGCTTATCGTCACTGCCGTCAAACGCGACGATCTATCAACCAAAGGACGGTGACTACGTCCTGCCACCTACCACAGTCCACCGACACAACAGAAACACTGGTGGAGATGAGAGCCTTGTTAGTGTTATTGCTGCTATTATTGGTCACTGGTGACAATGATGGTAAAACAATTACCGCATGCAGTGCTCGACAACGATAGCAATGGCCAGCGAGACCCTCTCGTTTGGCAGTTCCTCCGGCTTCTTTCCTTATCCGTGCTGATAGGCCGATTTCGCATTCGTAGCAATGGTGTGGTCTACAACTGCACTTCTTTGCGGGTTAGCTCGGGTGCTCGCAGCAATCGCGAGTCGATGTCGACTGTCTGGCAGAACGACTCACGGAGCGGCCACAGGCTCGTTGCTAGCTTACGCCAGTAGCCGCAGCCAGCTGAGGGTCAGCCTGTAGATACCTTACCACTAGCGATAGGAGCACCCAGTGGCAGCAGCCGTAGCAGGTAGTAGCCGTCGCATTGGAAATCTGCTGGTTGCAAGACGACGGCCTCCATCCAACACAATCACTACATCGTTTTGGTGGCGCTGCTTCGTTTTCGTCTTCGTTATCGTTGTAGTCACTGCTGCTGCTGCTGCTGCTACTACTATGGTCGTCGGCACTATCGTTCGCATCCGCTGTAGAGTAGGGCGCCAAAGCAGATCAAAAGCAGATTATGCCAGCAGTGGTGGCGCCAGTGGGGCGCTGACAGCGGTAGTGGCCCCCAGAAATAGAAGAAAAGCTCTCGGCTCTCGTCCACACAGGACAACAGCACCAACTAATACAGCAGCGCAGAAGTGCAGAGACGGGGTTAGGGACAGGCTCAAAATAATGTCCCTGTTTCGATCCGACAATAGCAGACGATAGTCAACAATTAACGGTATGAGTGAGCAGACGATAAAATGAAGAGCAAATTAGGAGGAAGCTTAAAAAGTTTAAATGGAAATGACAACGTATATAGACGAAGGATAGCCGAATACCCATAGAATGGAAAATGAAGATGAAAGGAGAAGCTATAAGGAAATTGCGACTAATGCAGTGATGCATTCGGTTTTCTATGTTTTGCATCGGTAGGTTCGGCAGTCGATGGTTAATGCGCTCGCTATTCTACTTTAAACAATAGCAGTGGCCAGTAAATGACTGGTCATCGTACTACGTTCAACGCCGACGAGAAGCGGCAAACGAATACCTGTGGTAATACTTATTCGAAGAAGAGCCATACAAGAAGTGACCAGGCGACGTTACAGAAAACTGAGACCCAGTCAAAGCTCCGCGTATATTCGACGGGGTACAAATAGACGGAGTACGAACAATAGAGAAAAACGGGGGCAACGGAAAGTGAAACTTTATAGATATGTACCATGCGTACAGTATAATCTAAACATGATAAGAGGAACGACCGTTGGCAGGAGAGATTTTTGATAGAAAGCAGTGTACTTATAAGATACGAACACGCTCAATGAAATATACGGGAGTCATACACGACTCGAATCAGGCTCATCGCTTGAAACGCTTGCAATAACTGGATCAAGCTACCTACGTTCTCTCGAAAGCGCAACATAAAAATTATTCTTATCAAAAATTAATGTATATATATATATATATATATATATATATAGAACAAAGGAGCTTTGACGAAAAAGTACGCCAGGAAGTTCTACGATTTGTCTTTAAATACTTTAATATAAAACGATCAGGAAACGGATGTGACATAGTCTATAATTAACTTCATAGATGATTATCAAATCTTGGCTGTGCTTAATCTTCTAGTGATAGTCAAAAGTTCTACAAGTAAAACGGGTTTATTTCAATAAAATAATAGTGCAATGTCTGTTTTTTGCTTGCTTTTCTTATACATCCATTCGGCTAGAAAAACCCTTTCGAGGTAACTTTTTAACTTTCGGCATTCCTATAAAATGCTATCAGTGCATTTATAGCGCTTTAGACGTCAGGTCTAACGCCCTATTTTGAGACCATTATTGGCAAGCTTTGTCACATGTTCTCGTTTACTCAGAATGTTTGTGACCTGTAGTAGACGGAAATAGGTGATGGTAGGTGTGGGCGGCCGAGTTGCTTGTTAACCTTCTGCAGTTGAAAGGTAGTATTGCCCGTCTGTTTTAAACACGCCTGTACTTAACCTATAAAAGCGAAAGGTGAACGAGACAAGGATCTGTCTAATGAAGTAGCTCTTGTTCGCTTCTACAACTCCCTGATCAATCTGTCACCTCTCTTTGTCCAGTTAACTCCACAGTCTAAATTTAAAACTTTGTGGGCCTACGAAACGTTTACATACTCTCACAGTGCATTGTAATCGTTAGCTTATATGCCGAAAACCTTGGCATAAAATTACTATAAGTTATTCAAGATCTTACCACTGTCTTATTTTTCGACAAAATTTATTTAATAATTTTCGTAGTTTTCCTTGTTCCAAGCACATTACTATTTAAATATGTTAAAATAAAGCGTTGTTTAGAGAATAACAAAAACTTGAGTACGAATGTTTAAGGCGTTAGCTCGTATTAATTTGCACTGCATTATAAACACCCTTTATGATTCAATGTGAACTGGCACTGTAGAATGTGTTTTTCGCGCATATCGTAATAACCCTGCTTAATCTTAGATAGGGAAATCTTAAATGCTACCCAAAGTATAAGTACACAGAGAAAGCTTCAACGTGATCAATCCGCGCACTGCAAGGACACCCGCGCGCAAAATTTCCCTCACTTTTCCATATAACCGCGGCTATTTTCCTGTCTTGTTCGATCTTTCTCCTTAGAGTTAATCTCGTGCCTGATCGAACTCCTGTAATAGATAAGATGGAATAGGCGATTGCAGCTTCACGTTGCGCTGCCGATCAACTGCTCGAGGACCTGGTAACACCGCTTTTTCTCGTCCACTCAGCTATCTCCGTATTTTGCTCGTTATAAAATTCAACGCGTTGTTGCAGTAAGAAAGTGAACACCAACACTGCCGAATCCTGACCTAGATATTCGTCGTATAGATTACGGCCACAAACCCATCAATAACTACGCCCCTGGACGACGACGACAACAAGAACTACAACCACCACACCACCAACAAGCAAACAAAGAGCAGCAGCAGCAGCAGCAACAACAACAACAACAACAACAACAAGAACAAGCTTTCGTAGTCCGACTACGGCTATGATACAGTACCGGTAGGTTCGTCGTCTGCAATTTTTCTTTCGCTTTATACCCACGCTGCTATCTATCAGGTCAACTATATTAATTACTGCTTAGCGCCAACATGCAAGAAACGCATAGGTCGTCGACAGGTCAGTGTTTTTTCCTATACAGTTCTGGCGCGTAGCAGACGGCTCGCGCTGGCGCTGCAACGGCGCTCGGCTCAGTTATCTCTGTGCGGGTGTCTACGCTTATGGCAACATGGAACATTTCGGCATCTAGTGGTGTTATAATAATGCTAGCTGACGAGTATGCAGAAAGAGCTTGAACATTTTTGCCTTCTCTTGATCTGCATCTGGTTTCCTGCTTACCCTTTTTTTATAATGGTTTTTCTCTTTCCCGCCTGTCATAGAAGGCACGGCGCTGACGAGCAGTCCCTGTGCGGACTGGTGACGCGCCAACATTTAAACTATTATTGTCTGCCAAGTGCTGCTGCTGTTGCTGCTATCTCACTTCCTTGTGCACCCGGGACATACACGTCTATCCCCTTTCGCTGTTACGAAAGTATGTCTAGTGCACCTGCACTGCCACTACAGGCTCTACTGCTGCTGTGATGGTTGATTCAGCCGTAGTTGGTACTGGCAGTGGCAGCTGCCAATTGTCGGCCGCACGAAATAACAGGCTGGCCAGCCCTACTGCTAGCGCTGGTGGTGGTGGTGGTGGTGGTGGTGGTGGTGGTGGTGGTGGTGGTGGTGGCGACGGCGGCGGCGGCGGCGGCGATGGTGCTGCTGTTGCTGTTGTTGTTGTTGCTGTTGCTGTTGCTGTTGTTGGCCTTCGAAGAACCTGCCTTTTGGCAGCAGAGAAGTCAGTTTGCGGTGGCGATGGTTATGCTGCTCAGTTTGTTGGTGCTAAGGCGGTTATTGTAGAACCGTAATCCCCCACTAGCCTGTATGTAGTAACGGGGTTTTGCTGTGGCGATGAACTGTGGGATATGTGGTAGGCAAGTCGAGGGCAAGTGACCGGCTTTTTAGTTTCAGTAAGTGAAATTCTATTTGGCCGCAACTCGCTTAGTACTTGCGAGCGAACAAATGGTATGGTCCAGCTGCTGATAGTAGCAGTGGCAGCAACAGCAGCATCAGCCCAGTTCGTGTGATCTGATCGGTCGGACGGACGGTCGATCGGTCAGTCGGTCCGGTCGGTCCGTCGGTCGGTCGGGGTCGGTCGGTCGGTCGATCGGTCGGTCGGTCGGTCGATCGGTCGGTCGGTCGGTCGGTCGGTCGGTCGGTCGGTCGGTCGGTTGGTCGGTCGGTCGGTCAGTCGGCCAATCAGCCAGCTTAACAGTAAGCCCGCCGCCGAACCCGTGTATTAACAAAAGCGAAACTCGTCTTCCTTTTTTTAGTTTTATAGTTCGTTTCTGCTCATGGAAAGTGCGCGCTTATGTGCCTACCTGTCTGTCTGTCTGTGTAACGAGGCCGTTGTTGGGTCGTGGAAGCTGCTAGCAGCGCTCAACCACCGCGGTTGCCGTCTGCGGTGTCGATGAGTTTTTCACCGTCACCGCTGCTACTGCTGCAGCTATTCGGTGTGTAAAAGTGCCAGTATTTGTATTGTGGAGTAAAAGTGTGGTGAACAAGTGTGCGCTTACAGTATATCAGTGATCGAGTAAAGAACTAAGAGACAACGCGACGGCAGAACTCGTTACACCGGGGGGGCTTAGCTAGAACGGGGCAGTGCCGGAGGCCCCTGCACAGAAGTGTGCCGTACGTACTCAAAGAGGGTTAGAACCTGAGAACGCGACTCCTACTATCGTGTTGCCACTGTCAAGTCGCCAATTTCCATTACTCGACGTATGGTTTTCTTCTACTAGCAACGACTACTGCTTCTAGTTATACCAGAATTGAACTCTGGCTACGTAATATAAGAATCTAAGAGCGAAAACTTCGCTTATGAAATAATAATTGTATGGTCCTCTACAGCACAAGACGTTTGTGGCGAAACGAGAAATAAAAGTTTTCATAGAGAGTGGAAAGCGCAACTGACCGGCGAACGTTGTCGTTAGAAATCTGCTTACGGAAGAGAAAAAGTAAGCGTTCACTTACGGAAGAAAAGTGGCGAAGAGTAGTTGACGATGGCCGCGCAGCAGGAACTGTTCGACCTCGAGCTTCACGAGGATGGAGCACTGGAGGAGGACATCGATGACGATGCTATTGACATGGAAGGAATGGTATGTACAAAAAAGTCAAGGATATATATATATATATATATATATATATATATATCGAGAAAAAAAGAGAATATCCTTCCGCATTAGATCCTCCGCCATTTTCGAAACGATTTACGCTGTATCACCGTGCACGAAGTTCATGTCTTTCTGTAGCTATTTCAGACCAAATATACGCATATTTCATATATTCACACAAATGTTGCAGAATCTGGGAATAAATCTAGAATCCGATCCGATCAGTGAACTAGTCCTTTCAAAATGAATGTTTTGCCCACCGAATGGCATCATGGGATATAGTTGGGACAGCAGCAGTAAATAATTGCTACGTATGATATAGATAGAAAAGCACGGGTGCTGTAACACGGGGATTCTACTTTTTATGTGTAGAGTGGAAGCAATACGACGTAACAGGATTGCCATCAGTGGGATATAGCTTAAGATGCTACCTAGTGAAGTGAAGTGAACGATTTGTTGGGTTATTGGTAGTTACGTACAGCCACTTGACCTTTACTGGCGCAATGGGAGTTGCAATGGTGACCGGAGCAGTCATCCATTACCACCTTGTACCATTGACTCAGTGACACATATTGAGTATGATTACATTCGAATCATTTCTGCAATACTGTGACTGCTATTACCTACAGATTACACTGCTGCGTCTGGCTGGATTTTATCTCGAGTGGATTGGAGGAAAAATTCGTATGTAATTTCTGTCATCACAAATCTAAAAGGACAGTTATATAAATGTGTGTGTCATACTGATAACTAGATGAATAAAAGACGACATTGGGGACCGACTTTTGGGTGGCGGCATGTCGCTCTTGCTATTGTTTTTGTTGCTCAGAAACCATATGTTGCTTTTTTCATTCAACTTTCTATATTATTAAACGTCTTGGAAAGTGGGTTTCTTTCAGCTAAAACGATCCCTTATCATTGGTCGGGTTGGGCTTTTTCTGGGTCGCTAAAACTTTATCCTGGAAAGACCCGCGCGGCAGATAGATCCAATCGGCTAAATGTTTTCCCACAGTAGGAAAAGTTTGCGTTGTTCCATAGAGCGTAATGTTAATTTCATTGGTTGTAAACTGGCGGCAATATTTTTTTCTTATTTTCCACGTTTGAAAACGATGCCGCACCGCTAGTTACAAGCATCAAATTGTGCCGTTTGATAAGTGTACAGATGTACATTTCTGTGAAAATCGTGTTGCATGACAAACTCTGTGTGAACTATTTTGTGGAGGAAGTTATAGCTACTAGGGAGTAGTTGGCCGCCATTTGACGTTGTAAATACAGTTAGTCTTTGACGTCTACACAGACGGGATAAAGTTCGCTTAAAAGCAAAGAGGCGCGGCCCAGAGCGAAGTCTGCAAATGACGCTTGGGTACAATTCTATGAAGCAAAAATGTCGACCGGCGCCAAGGAAACTGTGGTTACATCTGGTCATCGGGATAGGGTAGTGAGCCACAGCTTATTAAGCAAAGCCACGCCTGTTCTTCTCTGAAAATCAACTCTTCAGCGGCTGGCGGAGAATGAAGCTTGCTAAAATTATATATAAAAAATGGCTGTGGCCATATTTGTCTAAAAGAACAAGAATGGGCGAAGATAATTGTGGTGAAAAATTATTTATTTTTACTTAGGGTCTCTACAGTTAGTATTAGCGATCGTGTTTAATAATTAACGCGCATCTGGAAGCTGAATTCGAGATGTTCGTGGGGAACACCACAATACTAAATATAGTGCCGATATGTATAGCTAAACCGCTACTTTGTCATATTCATAGTGGTGCAAGAGATCTAGTTTATAATAGTTACGTCGTTTAATGTGGTAACGCCGGAAATGTGAGTTTGGTGCAAATTGTATCTTTAAACTAACTTTTTTTGGTAATAGTTATTCTCAAGTTCAGAACTCGTATCTATGAGATTGACTAGCTCGAAACAGTTCGTTATTTTAGATCGTTAGTCTTGAAAAAGCGAAGGTAATTATCGACAATATTTCAGAGCTTATTCTTTTAGCCCCTGCGGCAGTCCCTGAAGTAAAAATGCTTATGTGGTTGTTGTATTTAGTCAGCAGCATTAAACGAGGTCTCCATTGTCCATGCGAATAGCTGGGATGAAAGAATAGGTCTGACTTGTACAAAATACTGAATTATACGTGAACCGACCGGTCAGCCTTATTTGCAAACTGAAATTGCACGGTGAGTTTCTGTGAAAATGTTTTTCATTTTGTATACAGCCCCCACACAATTTCGATTAACGGCTTTTGTTTTTCTCTGTTCTTACAAAAATCAATCAGAATACATTTTGGAACGTTTGCAGATGTAGCAGTTTTTTTCGCACCACGCTAATTCTTCATCTCACGGTTTTAACGTGAGGTAACGTGTCGCTAGGTTTACTATCAGAATCGGTGAACGTTCCTCCTGTTATTATCTTAATGTTGCTCTACTTCTAATCACTTATCACTACAACTACTTTGTGACAGGTTGCTACTAAAGTCATTCACGTAGCTTTAATTGGGTGAGTTAATTGGAAAACAACGTAGACTGACTCTTTACGAGAAACCTTGCACGGGCAGTTCCTATAAATCGTACGGTTCTTTTTTTGTTTTTTTTGTTAAGACAAAACCTAATTTTTTTTTCCTGACAGGACGTTCATACGGCAGTATTTTATAGGTACATAATTCGATACAGGATAGTGGCATAGTAGTGGATTGTGGAACGGCGACCATAACATAAATATTGAATGAAAATGAATAGAAGTTTTTTTTAATAAAAGAAAACGCACTTGCTTAACGATTTTTCTCTACCGTCTGACTTGTCGGTGATATTTTTCGCTTCGTAGAGCAAGCACGCTTCTCAGTCTGCTTGTTGAGTAGTAATTGAACTACAGCTGCGTGGAACCTACTGGGGATGCCAGTCACTAACGAATAGTACTCGTATGTAGTCTTTCAAGATTGCATGTGAGCTGGCCAACATTAATTTCCTGCATGTCATACCGTCCAAAGCATATGTCGCTTCGTGCAATGACATGCAGATTTTCCTAAAACAGTTGTGTCATCTCTATGTACACCGTTTAATTAACTGCGAGGGATGTTTCCGTTAGCTGTGTTGTACCTCAATTGTTTTGATTTCACTGCGTGAAAGAAAACTGGTCCATTACTATTTGGTCGCATCGTCAATCTATGTATCTGTCCTCGAAGTGGATTTCTTCGACCAAAACTAACCCCTTAAAGGGCACCGATTGGGCACATCGTTTCTGGCCCATTCAACGTGCTGCATGGAAAGGTCTTCGTGAAAGGTGGGACCGATTGGCTAAATAGATCCCCTTAGAGAAAAGTTTGATTTTTCCTATACCATTTGGCTGGTCGTAAACCAATTACCTCAACTTTTTTTTCATTTCCCACATCAAAAAAAAGCGCCATCCGAGGCGGCCACTGGCATCGCAGGCGCTGGTATATCATGAAATATATGAAAAAATGTGCAGGACAAGGCCCATAGGTGGCAATCTATCATTGTATATGTGTTTGAGTTTTCGTTGATAAGATCAATTGGATGATTATAATGTAATTATTTCAAATAATAATTAAACTTTTTCTATGACAAATTGGTTAAATTAGTCAATTTGCTTAAAAGAAACCATAGTGTGTATAGAGTGTGTAGAGAATCTACCTCGTTGATTATCGGACAGTGAGGTAATCTAATTTCAAGCAACCTGTTATAGGAATGCATGCGTTCTTGACGTTGTACATAATCTTTATTCAATCGTTATATTTTCACGCTCTACAAGCTGCCATTTTTACGTACTTTCCTGACGTGTCTAGAAGAAAACGATCTATTTACTACGGAGCTCGCTGTCTGCAATCCTACTTGTTGTGATTATATAATTTCTATAATTATATTAAGGTGCTAAGGTTGAAATGAGTTTACTCGTGCGCGCTTCTGGTGTCGCTATCCACGACTAGAATGCTACCGGCGCTGCTCCCGTGTGATAACGTACGAATATGTTTATCTCCGTTATCGCACCTTTAACATAGTGTATAAGTTTGTCTAGTCGCGATGTCATTGGATCCTATATAAAATACCCTCGAATTAGAGAACTAATAGAAGCAAGCGTGCTTGTTTCGTAACCGCTGAAGGGCACAATGTCTGCTTTTAGTCGATAGCGCAATCAAGAACAGACGATGGGGCTCATATCGTGATGAGATCAGATGATATCGCTTGACAACAGGCTTTTTTAGCCTGACATTTTTAACCGATTTGCAACAACCTTTAGCTACAATAACAACTGCAATCACAACAACAAAGTGTAGTTAAGAGTCACCTCTCTTCGAGCCCAGCTCTATATAGACTGCAAGAATGTAGTCGGTTCATAGCATTTATAAAATAACAATTATTAGTATTATTATTTAATTTCGTTAGATGTGAACAAAAGTAGTATATAGGCTCGCAGTATCTGTCTGCCCGTTCGATAGTTGGGTCCGCCTTCGATCTATGTACGTCCATTTGACAAAAACCCAGGGCTGACTAAATCTAGACACATCGCTAAGACCTCAGAAAACGAGCCTACGCGTTGGGTAACAGCCAGCTCGAGTCCGGTGGAAGAGACTTTTAACCAGTATTTACTAGACTGCCTTCACCATTATTATGTGATGGCATGTAACTTTGTGTGCGTGTTTTCAAGCGTTAAACATAAAGGCCGCATATTTTGACAGTGCAAGTGGTATAGTGTGATTTGAATTTAAGGTAGTCCAATCCTTTTTAATCTCCAGGCTTTGCTGAGTAAATAGAACCGCCGAGCGAAACACAATCGTTCCTAATGACCCTGTGATGAATAGTTTAAATCAATGTAAGCAAACAAATTCTAGTGTGAAAAGTGTGAAAATCTAGTGTGAAAGAATCACTTCCTATCTTTCGCTAAAATTGTTGACTGGGTGTACCGAGTTGCTAGATCCGACGTAGCTTAGTCAATTTGAAGAAGAAAGTTATTTTCATGGGTCTGGTTGAAAGC